ATGCTGAGTTCTCTGTGACTCTCAACTTTGTATTCAAGTGTAGGAGAAAGCATGGTGTAGCAGAGAGGCTGCCTTAGCAAGATGGTAGGAAGATGTGGTCTGATTTGATGGTCAGAGAGGCCTGGGCAAGATGGAGTGTTTGAAGGCTTGGGGGCCGTAAATGCGTGCTTGTCAGGGGTGCTGATGACAGGCCGACTGTAAAGGTGTGTAGAGTTTGGACTGTTGGAGTTTAAGCAGTGCCTTTAGTTTCAGAGTGTTCCATGTGCAGGAGAGAAATGTGGAACTTGTCCAGCAGCAGCATGTAATTTTTACAGTTAGCAATTCTCGAACCAGTGTTTTGCAAATAGGGAAGTTTGACAATGAAGACAGATTGAAATTCTTCATTATCTCATCCCATGTTCGATAATTTTGTCTTTGTATTTTTAGGACTCCAGAGAATACTCAAGTAGTATTTCATCCTGTAAAGAAATTGACCAGTATAAATTATGCTTCCTTAATTTCAGTATTGGCTGTGTTTTATGACAAGCATCTTGTTATCTACTTAGAATTTTTTTTTCTTTTTGGCGGGGGCGGGGGGGGGGGGAGAGTAGAAGTAGGAGGAGGTGGGGCACACCTGTTTGTGCTCAGGGCTTACTCTTGGCTCTGCTCAGGGATCACTCATGGGGGAGCTCAGGTGACCATACATGGTGTTTGGCATTGAATGCAGGTTAACTGCATTGCAAGACAATTGTCTTAGCTTCTGTATTCTTTCTCTTGCTTGTTCCAAGGATCAATATTAATTGCAGTATTCTTTGTCACTATAAAGAAGTAGAAAGCCCCACTAGGTAAATTGTTAGATAAATCTACGATGGACTTATCTGCAGCCTTTAAATAGAATAGGGTAGATGTGTGCATGCCAATATGAAAAATAGATCTCCAGTATCTTAAGTATAAGAAAAAAATACACAGGATAGAATGTTATCTATGTGCCTAAATTTTTTTAAAAAGCATATTTGGGGGCCAGAGAGATTGCATAGCAGGTGGAGTGTTTGCCTTGCATGTGGCCGGTCTACCTGAATTCGATCCACAGCACCTCTTATGGTTCCCTGAGCCCCAGCAGGAATGATCTCTGTAGAACCAGGAGTAAACCCTGAGCACCACTGGGTGTGGCCTAAAAAGCAAAAAATAGCATAATTGGGCTGTGACAGTGTATATGACTTTTTTTTTTTTAATGTAGGAGTACTGCTATTTATTCAGCCACTGATTAGGTTGATTGAATTGGGCATGAACTCCACTATATAATGATGTTTTTTAATGGTTATGTCACCTGTGTTGTGATCAAAAGAGATTTTCACATTTACTTAATCTGAATCTGAGCAGTGATACTGAATTAAATTTATGGCTTTTGTTAAGTGACATTATAGGTGAATTTTGATTTGGAAAACATGAAATCTACAGAATGGACTTGAATACAGTACTAATAGATTGTTGCAGTGTCTAGGGTCTCAAAATATAGAAGTCAATTGAAACAAAAAATGTCTTACTGGTAAGGGCAGAGATCCTACCAGGCATGGTAACTTTAATAGTTTAATTTGTCAGCTCAGCTGCGTTCGGCTTTCATTTCAGTGAGGTTTGATAGTCTTAACTCGCAGTAGATTGCTTTCTGTAGGTGTGTGAAGCCTGTGACCTAGAGTGTGTCTGAGTATTTCATGCATCACATCAAGGTGCTCCTGGTGCTTTGGTGTCACTGAATTTTAGTTGTTGTATTTTGAGAAAGACGCCTGTGGGTGGAGAAAGAGACTGCTAGGGAAACCATTATTCCAAGCAAATGCCACTAAAAGTTTTATTTATTTATTTATTTATTTGTGGAGAAAGAGGTGCCTGGGGCCACACCCAGCAGTTCTCAGGGCTTACTCCTGGCTCTTTGCTCAGGGACCATTGTTGGATTGGGGGGGGGCAAACTGGCAAATGTAATGAGAGCACCTTAACCCCTGTACTATCTCCCTATCCCCTTGGGTGGTTTTCTGAAGCAGAACTGTTTATTGGAAGATTTGATAAGACGAGTCTATGACCTGAAATAGATCTGCTGTGATGAGCACTGTTTTCTCCCTCCCCTACCCCACCTCCCCGCACTGCACGCTTGATGAGCTGGTTATTTATTACATTTTTCCAGATTCCCCACAGATTATAGTCTTTTAATCCCAACAGGTGGACTGTCAAGGGCCCTTGGAGCTGTCACTGGTCTGTACTATTGGCAGTCAGCCTCTTTACCTGTCATCCTAACCAATGATTCCTTTATCCTCCCTGCCCTATTATTTTGGCTTTAGAGAATTTGTCTACCTGCGTCTTTCTTCCAATCCCTACTTAACGGTGCAAGGAGAAATACTGCTTCCTCTTCTTTCTCTATTAGTTTTCTTCTTCTTTCCTTTGTTGTAATAGTGAACCACATGTGACAGTAATGATTATTTATGATTGTGCTTCCTCTCTCAACGACTAGGGAGGTTTTGAGTTTCATTAGCTCTAAGATGCCCGTAATTGGGAAGTGTACCACTATATGGGCCACAAAGAAAGCAGATAGGAAAGTCTTAAAAATCAGCACTTTCTTTTTTTTTTTTTAAAGTTTTATTTTAATTTTATTTTTTGCTTTTTTTTGGGGGGTCACACCCGACAATGCTCAGGGGTTACTCCTGGCTCATGCACTCAGGAATTGCTCCTGGCGGTGCTCAGAGGACCATATGAGGTGCTGGGAATTGAACCTGTGTCGGCCATGTTGGCTGCGTGCAATGCAAATGCCCTACCCGCTGTGCTATCTCTCCAGCCCAAAAATCAGCACTTTCAATACCTAAAGCTTTGGAATATATTCCAGGAGGTCAGGATCTAGTTCATTTCTGGCCATACACACACACACAGACACACAGACACAGACACACACACACACACACACACACACACACACACCCCACACACATCCCACACACATGCACCCCAAAAAGAGATCAGGAAAATAGCCCCAAGGACTAGGGTGCAAGCCTTGTCTATGGGAGATCAAGTACCAGGCTTGATCCCTGGCTTGCATAGTCCCCTGAGCATTGCTGGGAGTGGCCCCTGACCACTGCTGGGTGATTCCAAAATCAAAATTTTGAAGGTGCTTTTAGAATGTTATAGGCTGAATGATCTGAGTGTCATTTATTTATTTTTTCTTTGGAAAGTCACACTCTATTCTCTGAGTAAGGGGGCATGCAGTGCTTGGGATCATATTCAGGGCTTCACACATGCAACGCATATGCTTTCCTACCTGAGAGATTTTCGTGGCCCCTTGATTGTCTTTATTGTAGGCCAGTGATGAATCTTAGCATCAGTAAATAGGGAACCAACAGAGTATACTCTTCTGTGAATAATTCTTGTCCCAAATTTCTAAGCTGTAGAGCCAAGCTGTCTTCCAGGTTTACAGGGAATATCAGGAATAGAGACGCTGCTTAGACCACTCTTAGGAAACAATTAGATACAGTCAGAAGGTGAGACATTCATCTAGAAAAAATTGGTCTGACTTGTCAGCGAGTTAGTTTGGGACAGCAGTGGAGACTATTCTGCTATAAAACACACTTCTGAGACATAACAAGTAGGAATTGTGATCCTTTTTTATGTACTAGAGTTATTAATAGCATAGTCATTGGAAGCAAGAAAAATTATTCCATCTGTATAGTTTTGTTGGGCCTGATGTTACTTAAAATACTTATTTCAGAGAGTCTTTTATAAAAACGGTGCTGGACGTAAACCATCCATTCGTTGATTCATTGATGTCTTTTTAGTTGACAAAGTGGTAGTGATGGAAGATAAGTGACAGACTTTATAAGCTGCTTTGGAAAAAGACTAAAATTTACTTCAACATCTATCCTATAGATTCTTACACTTAATAGAAATTCCAGATTGAAATCACAGGTGGGAGATGGCTCAAAGGACTAGAGCATGTACTTTGGATGAGGGAGCCCCAGTTATGATCCCCAACACCACACGGTCCCCCAAACACCAAGATGGGGGTAGTCCCTGAACACCACCTGGTGTTTCTTCAAAGAAAGGTTTCACTGCCTGTAGACAATTTGAAGTGAGCTGTTCTTTTTTAGTTACTTGAGGGGAGGCATTCCTGGCAGTGTCTGGTGGCTAAGGACCATCTCTCTCTGCATTTGAACTCAGAGGTGCCGTGGTGAGGCTAGTTCTCAGGTACTAAGGCCTAGTACCTGCAAGGATGTATGTTCTGTCATCTGAACCAAATCTCAGCCTGTCCTTCTTTATTTTTCAGTTTATTTCTAAAATAAATGGTGTGTGTGTGTGTGTGTGTGTGTGTGTGTGTGTGTGTGTGTGTGTTGGGGAGGGGGAGGTTGGACTATATCCAGTACTAGCCCTGGGTATTCAGGGGCTATTCCTGGCTCTGTGCTTAGGAATGACATTGAGTGGTGTTCATGGGACTGTATGTGGTGCTGGGGAATCTGAACCAGGACCACTGGAATGCAAGACGAGTGCCTGAATGCCTTTAAACTGTCTGTTCCTTTGATTTTTTTTTATTTGTTTGTTTGTTCGTTTTGGGGCCATACCTGGCAGTGCTCCGGGCTTACTCCTGGCAGGGTTGAGTGACTGTACAGCATGCCAGGGATTGAACCTGAATCTGCTGCGTCAAGGCAAATGCTTTACCTGCTGTATTATTGTTCCATCCCATATTTATATTTTAAATATGAGCTCTAGGAGCCATAGTACAGGCGGTAAGGTGCTTGTCTTAAACACATGATATGTTGTCCCCTAAGCCCAGAGTCAGGAGTCACCCCTGAGCACCATCAAATACAGCCCCCAAAGCAAAAAATAGGAAATAGGAGTGGAACTCTAGCTTCACGTTTGGACACAGCTTAGACTTAATTGTGCAAATGAGGATTTTTGTCATATTTGTGCCAAATTTGATGCTAAACGTTAACAAGTATCAGTATTAAGTATGAAGTATTAATTTATTAACATAAGTATTTGTTTATTTTCAGGTATATTTGCTTACTTGAACTACCATGTTCCTCGTACAAGAAGAGAAATCTTGGAGACCCTGATCAAAGGCCTCCAGAGACTGGAGTACAGAGGATATGATTCTGCTGGTATTTCTTTTAAAAAAATACGGGTTTTGAATGATTCTTGACTCTAAGTAGAGAAATTTTTGTTTTAATTGAATAGATTTTTTAGTAACAATGGTTTTGTCTCAGATAAATAAAAAATATGAACAATTAGAATTTTTTTTATCATGTTGGAAAGGTTTTTATCTGTATATTCAGCTGTCTTACCATTCATATAAGAGTATTACTTCTCCCCATCTTTGTTAGTAATATTTTATTTTTGACATTTTAAAGCTCCTTTTGATAGTAATATGAAAGAAATGAATTTTAAAATTACAAAGAAAATGCTAGGAAAGAAGATTACCTTCTGTTGCTTTTGAACTAATAGAAGCAGTAAGTTTAAAAATCACAAAGGCAATAGCACGGTAGCAGTATCCTCCCATTGTTCATCGATTTGCTTGAGCAGGCACCAGTAACGTCTCACAACAAATTGTGAGACTTTTTGTTACTGTTTTTGGAATATCAAATATGTCACAGGTACCTTGCCAGGCTTTGCCGTGTGGGCAAGATACTCTTGGTAGCTTGCGGGGCTCTCTGAGAGGGGCAGAGGAATCGCACTTGGGTTGGCTGCGTGCCTTACCTGCTGTGCTATCGCTCCAGCCCCCCAAAGATAATAGGAAAGAAAATTGCATCCTATTGCTTTTATTTTATTATTATCATTTATTGTTATTATTTTTGGTGTTGGGGCCACTCCTGCATTGCTCAGGAGTTACTCCTGGCTCTGCATTCAGAAATTGCATCTGGCAGTTCTCAGGGGATTTTATGGGATGCAAAAAATCAAACCTGGGTGGGCTATGGGCAAGGCAAGTTACCCTAACCACTGCACTAATTCTCGGTCGACTGTATCCCATTCCCCCATACACTTTATTTAAACACCATGATTTCCAAAGTTGCCCATAATGATTTGTTGCAGGTTTTCAGTATTCCATCACCAACTCCGCCGCCACTGTCACCTTTCCTCCACCATTGTCTCTCTTTTCTCAACCATCCCTCAAACCTGCTGCCATAGCAGGCCCACAGTATTTTTTTTTATATTTGTTTTTTTTTACCACTGGCTGGCTAATGGAATAATCAGAAAAGAAAATTGTAAAAGAAAATTTGTGAGAATCTTTGTATCTCACCCTGGGAACATTAAGTCCTTGTCTGAGGGTTTGCTAAGCTGTTGTTGCAAGTTAAGCCTTCTGTGTTCATGTTGTTGTTAGTCGAAGATTAGTTCCATTCCCATCCAGTCTGCTCTCCTCCTACTGGGATGTTAGCATTGTGGAGTTTGGAGATGTCGCTCCAGAGAATCCAGAACTGGGTGGTCTGGCCAGAGGCATGGCGACAGCTGTTGGGGTGTGAGTGTGGCTGCCTGGGCTTTGGTAGGGTGGGAACTTGGCTTGCCCCTGTCCCTAGATCACCCCAGAGATTTCAGCTGGGACCAGGTATCCAAGAAATTTTTGTGGCTAGTTGATCTCTTTTAAGAACTAATTATGGGCCTCTGGAGCAGGAGCTTACATGGTTGTGGTAGTGGGATGTGGGTGTGTGGCTGATGGGGCTTCTGGAAGTACGGGGAGTTGGGGGGAGGTCACCCATCCTGACTCGAGAAGGTCCAGAGTTTTCAGCCAAAAAAAAGTTTTTTTGGTGTGTTTGAAATTTTTGCAGATTAGCTTCTCTGTGGAGCTCAGTTATGAGGTGGTGGAGTTCAGCCAGCAGCTGTTGGGGTGTGAGCGGCTGCCGAGGCTTTGGTAGGGCTTGGACTTGACCCTTCCCCCCTCAAGATCATCCTGGAGGTCTGAGCCCAGGCAACATCTTAATGCTTTTCTTTCTTTCTATCTATCTATCTATCTATCTATCTATCTATCTATCTATCTATCTCAATCCCAAACAAAACAAACGCTGTCCTCCCATTGTTCATCGATTTGCTCGAGCAGGCCCAGTAACGTCTCCATTTTGAGACTTGTTACCGTGTTTGGCATATTGAATATGTCATGGGTAGCTTGTGAGGCTTTGCCGTGCAGGCGAGATACTCTTGGTAGCTTGCCGGGCTCTCTGAGAGGGGCAGAGGAATCAAACCCGGCTTGGTTGGGCTGGCTGCGCTCAAGGCAAACGCCCTAATGCTGTGCTATCAGTCTATCTCAAACCCCTCTCTATACAAATCATGATAAAGTGAGTCATCAGAGCAATCCAGTGTCTCTGTCCATATAATTCATCCCTGATAGAACAATTATATGATTATATGCAAAAAGAGCCTTCCACAAATCACTATTCATTTAGGATGAAAACTCAGCAATTTAGGAAAAGCTAATCATTTAATTTGATATAAAGCAACTATGAAAAAAAGATCTGCTGGTATCATAAAAATAATAATTCAGTAATTTAAGAATGAAAAGCTAGACTAAAAATTGCTACCATTCATAGGTAATTCTGTACTCAAAGTCTAAAATAATGTTCAAAATAATCTAGTAAAGTATTACTTCTTATGGGTATCTTTTGGTGAGAGTGTTGCTATAAAAATTGTCACTTGAGCATTTTCAGGATACAACAAAGTTCTTGAAGACCTTTGACTGTTCATTATCTTTCTATGTTTCTATAACTTTTAATTTCCTTTTCTTCACAGATTTCATGCCTATGGAACACAGATGTGTCTGAGGGTTTTTTTTTGGGGGGGGGTGCCACTCAGATTGGTATTCAGGATGACCCCAGAGTCACTTTCAAAGAATCTTGGTCACTTGGACTGGCTGTTTACTGGTAGGGCCTGACAAAGTGGTGCTTCTGAGGGATTACTTGGGCCATCCTGGTTGGTGATGCTTGGGCTACCCCCACTGGTGCTTGGGGGTCATTGTGATGCTGGGGATTAAACATGCATCATAAGCCCCATATTCTCTCTCTCTTTATCTCTCTCTCTCTGTCTCTCTCTCTCTCTGTTTTCTCTCTTTTTCTCTGTGTATTCTCTCTGTCGCTCTCTCTCTCTCTCTCTCTCCCTCTCCCTGTATTCTCACTCTCTTTCTCTCTCTCCCTGTATTCTCTCTCTTTTCCTCTGGCCCCTTGTTTTCTTTTACCTTAAATGACAAAGCAGATAAAAGTAACTTTTTGTCAACTTTATGTTCCATACCAGCATTTTCCTTTAACTGTTCAGGGTCTCCAAGGCCACTCCTAGAGTTGGTAATTCCCGAGGAGAACCCAGTGTAGTTCAAGTCCCTGGTTATGAAGCATTACAACAGAAGTCTTTAAAGCTAAGTCAGCAAAGGGTCACAGGCTGAGGCCAGGACGGAAGCCGGCCCAAGCTTCCCAGAGTCCTCTGCAGTGGAGTCCCATTTGCCTAATGCACTGCATTTCCTCAGGGAGTTGTCAGAGTGTGTGAACTGTTGTATGCCGGGAAAGCTCATTAGCCCCTGTACACCCAGAGTTCTTCCTGGAGGACTGGAAAGGCAGCTCCAAAGGCTGGAGCACGTGCCTGGCTTGGTGGGGGCCCTGGTTTCATGCCAGCACCACGTGGTCCTCTGAGCACCAGGAATGACTCTGAGCTCCATGAGGTCTATAGCCCAAAAACCAATCAACCAAATAAAGCACCCCCAAAGATTGTAGTGGGGATTGATCACATTTCAGGTTTCTAAAAAGGAGCAGGTGTTCAGCAGAAACTAGGTTATTTGCAATTTAGCTGCAGTGAAACTTGGTTTGTTTTTGGACCACAGCCAATGGTGTTTGGGGACTGCTCTGAACTTCTTGCTGGGGTTGAGGGTCTCTCCCTGCAGTGCTCAGGGGACCATTTGATGCCAGGGATTGAACCTGGGCCTCGGGCACTAGTCCTTTTGGTCTGTCTCTCTGGCCCCACAGAAACATTCTGAACCAGCTGTTGGGGGGAACCTTCCTGAAGTTCAGATGCCAGTGAGTTTCCCGGAATAGCCAGGAGCCTTTATAATGATGGCAGCCTTTGTCCTGTGCACTTTTTCTTCCGTGACTTTGTACCATCAATGGAAATTCACTTCCTCAACAGTTTTGTTCTTCCTATTCCTTCCTTTGCCCCTCGGACACAGTGTGTTTGATTCTCATCTTGCCATACCTATTATTTCTTTCTTTTTTTTTTTTTTTTTTACAGCTGTGCCCATGGCTTACTCCTGGCTCTGTGCTTAGGGATCACTCCTGGTGGGGCTCAGGGGACCATATGGGGTGCTGGGGATCAGACCTGGATTAACTGTGTGATAGTCAGAGTCCTGCCCTCCGGCCCCTGGTTCTTTTTTGTCTGCTTTGTGGGAGGTTCTTTTCCTTCCACCTGTTGCTTGGCTAGTAATATTCTTCACTGTCCTTTCCTAGGCTTAGTTTTCTTACTTTGTATCATCCTGGGTAAGCTCTGACCTCATCAGCTTTCTAAATATCATTTAGGTAACTTATCTCCCAGACGTATTTCTCAAGACATGAACCTGTATTTTCAATTTTCTCGTAGACTTCTCTCCCGGATAGGCCACTGCTACTGTTCATCTTATCCCCACCCTCCACTCCATTGCTACTGTGTTCCTGTGATCAGTGACGAGGCTGTCCTTCCAGTCTGGGACCTGCCCTACACTTCTGCTTTCTCACATTATTTCTAGTTGTCGGTGCTTTCAGTATCACTTCTGTCATCAGTGTCACTGTTTAGTTGAGGGCCTCCAGATTTTTTCTTTGCCGTAACTAGAACTTATGGTAACTCTTTTCTGCCATAAGTTTCAGTTTTCCCTCTGTGTGCTATTTTTGAAAAGCATTTTCTAAAGTTTTTTTTTTAATTTATTTTTTTGCCATGCTCCCTTTGTGCTTCAAGCTATTCAGTGCTTATCCAGGACTTTCAGTTTTCAAATTCTTTTTTTTTTTAAATTTTTAATTGAATCACTGTGAAATAGATATGAAACTGTTCATGGTTGGGTTTCAGTCATACAATGTTCCAACACCCATCCTTCCACCAGTACACTTTTTCTACCAGCAATCCACTAATGTTCCCAGTTTCCCTCCCCCCCGCCCCCAGCCTCCTTCCCCCCCCCCCCCAGCCTCCCTCTCCCCCTCTCTTTCTCTCTCTCTCTCTCTTTCTCTCTCTCTCGCCCCCCTCCTTTTGAGGAGAGACAATAAAGCAATATAGATACTGAGAGGTTATCATGTTTGTTTCTTTACCTATTCTCAGCACAGAGTTCTTAGCCATATTGATTATTTCCAACTATCTTTGTTTGCAACACGGATACTGAGAGGTTATCATATTTGTTTCTTTACTTATTCTCAGCACACAATTTTTTAAAAAATTTTTATTAGTGAGACATCATTCTTATCCAGATTGATCATTTCCAACTATCTTTGTCATAGTGGCCTCTTCTCTATCTCAGATTAATATCTAAGGACAGTAGAAACAAGGACCAGAAGGTTTGGTCCACGATTGGAAGCCTGCCTCAGGTGCTGGGGAAGGTTTTCAAATTCTTTAGGAACATAAATAGAACCTCTTGAGACTGTTCCTCAGCGCCCCCTTTGTGCCTGCCTTCTGAGATGGCCACCCATCTTTTGTTTTTCTCCAGTTGTCTGCCAGTTGCATCCTCTAATACTTTTATTGAAACCTAAAACTACATTCTCTTGTAACTACCTTTTTGTTTGTTTATGTTACAGACCCTTTGGAATTCGAGACTAGTAAATTAATTATTTCTGATTCGGGTTTTTTTTTTTTTTAAATCTATCAGCTTTCTTGAAGCCCTTCTTGGTATTACTGGCGCCCGCTCGAGCAAATGATGATTAATGGGAAGTCAAGTGATCAAGTGACCTATCAGCTATCTTGGTTCTTGACACAAGATTTTTAGAAAATGTTGAGTTTATTAACTGCATAGATGAAAAGTGTTTTCAATAAAAATGTCTGCCATGGTGATCCTCTAAGTTATCTCTGAATCTTACTTTTCTTCCATTTGATCCCCGTAGGTGTGGGATTTGACGGAGGCAATGATAAAGACTGGGAGGCCAATGCCTGCAAAATCCAACTCATTAAGAAGAAAGGGAAAGTAAAAGCACTGGATGAAGAAGTTCACAGTAATTTTATTTTTGTTTCCTTCCTCCTCCTATCCCTCCTGTTCCTTCCTCCTCCTATCCTATCAAATGACTTTTCCCCTCATTTGAAACCTGCCTTAAGAGTAGTTATTTGTGTATGTGTGTATGTGTGTGTGTGTGTGTGTGACAGAGAGAGAGAGAGAGAGAGAGAGAGAGAGAGAGAGAGAGAGAGAGAGAGCATGCCAGCAGTTCTCAGTGCTTACTCCTGACTATATACTCAGGGATCACTCCAGATATGGCTTGGGGGACCATCTGGGGTGTCAGGGATTGTACTGGGGTCAGTGTCATACAAGGCAGATGCCCTCTGCTTGTTGTACTCTCACTCCAGCTCTGAAAGTATTGATTTTTAAAGTTAAAAGAAGAAAAGATAAGTGATTTTTTATAAACAACAACTGATTATAGTGGTTTTAAAATGTACCTGATGAGACCAGAGAGATCGTACAAGAGGTAACGTGCTTACTTGCAGGTAGCCATCCTGGGTTTGATTCCAGGCACCCCATGCGGTCCCCTGGATATCTCCAGGATTGATTTAGGAGTAAGCCCTGAATACTGCTGGGAGTGGCCTTAAAACAGACAATGCCATCGTAATCATGAGAGTAGAAGATGAAAATGGTGGGTTTAGTAATTTTTTTTCATAGAGTTCAAATATTTAGTTTCATCATACTTGTTTAACAAATTAATTCGTGTTTTTTTTTGTCTTATGGCTAAAGTTAAGGATTAAACAGACACCTACCTAACTGTACTCTAAAACCTGAAATTCAGATACTCTGTCTATTGTGTATATTGTAGCCTCTACCTTAGGCCAATTTTAGAAGGTACCACTAGAGCCTGCTGAAGATTCAGTGGGGAGAGAGTTCCCACAAGTTTGGGAGCCTGAGGAGACAGAGGGATTCCCTGCCAGTGATATTTGGGTAGCAATTTTGAGAAGAGTCAACTTTCTGAGTAAGGTAGCTTGTGTGAAAAGAATAGGCCAGGTGAGTTTGTTGGCAGTAATAGGTAGTTCTTTTTTTTTTTTTTCCTCCAGGGTGTCCCAGAGGTGCTTGGGAGCTCTAGGGCTGCTCCTGTAGTGCCATGTGGTGTGTCCAGGATCAAACCCAGGGCCTTGTGCATGTAAGGCATGCACTCCACCTCTCAGAGCTATCTCCCTGGGCCTCATATGTAGTCCTTTTAATTTATATTATCACAGATTGTGATCCAGAATCATCATCTTTGAATGTGAACATACTGAAACATGAATATCCTCCTGCGGGAAAGTCAGGATAGAAGGAGCAAATGGGTCCTTGAAGCATCTCGAACTGATCAATCTCTTGGAACAACAGTCTGGCTGTGCCTGAGTGGGGAGATGCCTTTGGTTACTTTTTCTCTTGGTCCCATTCTTGGCCATGATCCCAAACACTCTGGACCAGGAGATCAGACAATGGCAGCAACAGCAACAAAAATTTGCTACTTCAAAATTTAAAAGCAAATATCTGCCCATAAGGGAATGAAAAAATAAGATGTACGGATAGTAAGTGACCCTAAGTAACTCTTGAACAGTGTGCACTGGTCTGGTTCTGCATGCAGAAATGTGAGTGATTTCTGGGAACTGAGTGTCCAGCAATAAAAGCAGTCGGCCAGAAAGCTAAGTAAAATGACCATTAAAAACACACAGAGGAATGCCATCAATGGTAGGTGGACACATGTTCATAATAGAAGTTTGAAGTCTCAAAGGATTGGATAGCAACTTGAGAATCCAGGGGTATAAAGAAGGTGTCAACTTATCAGCTACATTTTTTTAAAAAAATTTTTACATTTCTAGGTCAAAAGCAGGTCTAAAACACAAATAGCATTTGTTAACAGTATTTGCTAACCCTGGGTGCTGTATTTGGAAATTTGGGGTGCTTATTTTATTATTCCCAGCAAGTTTCAATATGTTTCACCTATTAAAAAAAATCAGAAGGTGGGGCCAGGGGCATGGTGGTGGGCTGTATTCCCTGCACGTGTGAGGCCCTGAGTTTGATTGCCGGCGCTACAATAACATGAGAAAAAGGGAAGGGCAACATCTTACTAAAAGGCTCTCGGCTTGGTGGATTATGAGGTCATCCATAACTGCTGAGTTAGAAAATAATAGTTTACATTTATTGGTTACTTTCTGTGTTTCAGATTCTTTTGTTTTGTTTTTGGTCCGCACCTAGCGGTGTTCAGGGCTTACTCCTGGCTCTGCACTTGGGGATCACTCTTGGGGCTCTGGGGTACTGTGTGGGGTGCCTGGTATTGAGCCTGGCAAGGCAAGGCAAATGCCCTCCTCACTGTGGTATCACTCTTGCTGTCCAGGCATTTTCTTAAATGCTTAATATAAACCCATTTGTTCATCATCAGAACCCACGAAGCTAGGTCACATTCATCCTTCCTTTGCAGATGAGAGGTTGCAGATGAGGGGCAATTAAGTTGCCTTTGGGGTCAGAAGAGGGCAAAGGAGAGCTCATATGCTCGGGAGTCAGAAGAATTAGTGATTCTTCAACGCATTTTATACCTTAAAAGCGGTGAGGCACCAATGCCTGCTAGCATTTGTTACCTCTGGGCATAGATTTGAGAATGTTTTATAATTATCAGAGAGTTTAAGGTTGTTGGAGCTATTAAAAAAGCAATAAGGATGACATCTGAGGAACGGTTCTCGGGGGAAGAGAATCTTTGGGGAGAAAGGTATGGGGGTGGTATATTAAAAAGGAGGAGAAAGGAAATTGTTGAGGGATTGCAGCTTAGAAAGACTCTGGCAGTAGTTAGCCTGCCAGGAGCAAAGACTGAACAATGAGCTCTGTGAAACAGCCAATAGGGGACAATAAAAATGCAGAGTACAGTGGCGGTAGTGGAATTATAGATGTGGCTGAGGATTAGGCAGAGTACAAAGATACCCTGAGTTATTGTAGAGTTGAATGAACTATCACTTCCTTAAATGGCAACAGTGAGAAGTATAGGTGTGGTGACTAATTATGAACTTGAAATGAATTCAATTTATGACTTGCTTCAGTGTCACCTGGCAGCTCATGGCGGCAGGGGGAGAAGCCTGATATAGGAGTGAGAGGCAAAAGATTCAGCAAAGGTCTTTAGAACAGAGGTGTTCAAAGAGGCGAATTCAAGATACATAAAATTTGGGGAAAGGGACTAGAGCGATAGTACAGTGGGTTGGGAGTTTGCCTTGCATGAAGCTGACTCAGGTTCAATCCCCGGCATCCCACATGGTCCCCTGAGCACTGCCAGGAGTAATTCCTGAGTGCAGAGCCAGGAGTAACACCTGAGCACTGCCAGCAAGTGTGACCCAAAAAGCCAGAATCAAAAAACAATAACAAAAACACCTCAACTGCCACCACCACCACCACCACCCCCACCAAAAAAAAAAAAAATCCTTGAAGAATATTTTTGTGAGGATGTGCTTATTATAGTGTCAATTAAACATTAAATGTTCTTTTGGTAACAGTGAGTCTGGTAATAATTGCCATGGTTTTGAAATTGATTCACTTTATAGAATCTTATTTTTTCCCCTCCAGTTCTATTGTTTTGCAATAGAATATTGTATATATATTGTGTATGTATCTGTGTTACTGCTTTAAGTGTAGTTAGCCTAAAACACTAGTCAAAAAAATTGGTGGGAGTGTGCTGCTTTGAGCCACACTGCCTGCCCTGCAGGCTTCCTCCTGGATTTCTGCTCAGGGATCACTTCTGGTGGGGCTTGGCGGATCATACACCAGGGCCAACCCTGTTGGGCCAGTTCAAGGCTAGCACCTTCTCTGTTTTTATTGCTTGCGTTAGCTTATAAAATGGTGACAAACAGATGTCATTTATTGTTAATTAATTCAATATGTATTTTAAAAAGGAAAGAATTCTATCTCTGTCCTGTTAGCTATGACCAAGGACAGTTTCTTTCTTCCTCCCTCCTTTTCTTCTTTTTCCTCCTTTTCCCTCCTTTTATCCCTCTCTCTCTCTCCCTCCTTCTCTCCCTCCCTCCCTCTCTCCTTCCCTTCCTTCTATGCCTAGCTCCTTTCTGTACCAGCAGGGTACACCTTGGATTCTCGTTAGAAAACACAGTTGAGGAGTCAGAGTCATAGTACAGCGATTGGGTGCTTGCTTTGCACCCTGATGACTTGGATTTGATTCCCAACATCCACTGTGGTACCTGGAATATCGCCAGTAGTGATTCCTAGGTGCATAGCCAGGAGTGACCCCTGAGCTGTGCAAAGTGTGACCCCAAAACAAAACAAACTGTTGATGAAACTGTTTAGTCAAGCATCAATCACAATCCTTCCTTCCTTCCTTCCTTCCTTCCTTCCTGCCTTCCTGCCTTCCTGCCTTCCTGCCTTCCTGCCTTCCTGCCTTCCTGCCTTCCTGCCTTCCTGCCTTTATTTCCTCCTCTTTCATTCCTTTCTTTTTCCTCCCTCCCTCCCTCCTTCCTTCTTTCCTCTTTCCCCCGCCCCTCCCTTCTTCCATCCCTTCCTTCATCTTCTTCCTTGAATTTACACACACCTGGCCTTGAACTCTCCCACTGAACTAGACTGCCTGTTCTAAAACCAACCTTTGTTCTAGGTCCTAAGGATCCAAGACAGGCAAGCTCTGTGCCCTGGTGGGGCTTACTGTTCAGTAAGTGGGCCACACAGCTATCATTTGGTTAGTGGTAGGCTTGGTTTGCTGGAAGTCAGTGGGACTAGAGCATCAGAAGGGGGAGGGATAGTGGCAGGAGACGAGGCTAGAGAAGTGAGGGAAGGCTGGGTTATGTAGGGTCTGCAAGATGATGACTGTGAACTCTGTGTGCCGTTAGAAACCACTGGAAAAGTTTGCAGAAGGGAGTTAACTGTCTCACTTCTGTCTTGAAAGGACCTTTTTGGTTGGTATACAAAGGCTGGGTTGTACAGCAAGAAGATTGGACACAGGGAGTCCAGTTAGGATTCTGTTGAAATAGCCCAGAGGAAGATGATGGTAACCAGGGGCACAGGGTGGTGAGAAGTCTTTAGAAAGCAAACAACTGTTGTCATGATTTATAAATATGTACATTGAAGGCTTTTATGAGTAACTGGAGAGGGACTGGAGATGAGGGTGAGAAGTAGGAGGGGAGCCAGACAGTGAAGGACCTTGTGTGCTTTTCATGGAAAAAGTTGGACTTTATGACAAAAATGGTTCTCTCGTTTTATGTTAGAATTTAGGAATCTTTTTATAAATTCCTGTGACTAATTGTCAGATGATTCATAGGCATAGTTAGGGCTACCAAACTGCTTTTTAAAAAAGCACTGCAGGTCTATTCAAGGACTTTAATTGTTGTTTCCTGATAGGATTTGTGTTGTCAGTGACCTCTGATTAACCAGCGTAGACCATTAAAGATTGTATGCAAAAATTGCATGAACTTCTCTATTCAGACTTCTGGATCATTTGCTCTTATTTGAAACCTAATTCTGATAACTTTTGCTAATCTGGTTTCTTAGTCAAATGAAATTTTTATTTAGAAAACTAGAAGTAAGGCTTTACTGGTAAATAATTAGAACCCCCCCCCCCCCCCACACACACACACACAAACACACCCCAACCTGGGGGAAATAAGAAGATGGTACTTATGAGGACATATTTTAGAATATTTGTCCTTTAAGGTAAAGAAGCGTCAGTTTCTAACTTCTTGCTTACCCTGTTCTCTGGGCCTACTTTTCATTTAGAAGCTTTCCATAATTGCAGTTTATATAGCGACAGATATTTACATTCACCAGGGTTCAAAGAAATTGTAGCCATGGGATTAAAATAGTTTTATTTTTGCACATTTAATTAACATGACAGTCATTTAAATTAAATCACATTTAATTAAATCACATTAATTTTTTGTGTTCAACTCTTGAGTTTGAGAATTTTTAAACTTCCACAGAAAACTGAAAAAATAAAATAGTATGTTAATCGCATGTTCATTTTACCTAGCTTTACCAGTTGTTCACTTTTGTTACTTTTACTTTATTTCTCTTTGCACAGTCATTATTATTTTTGGAACCATGTACCTAAAATATTTCGCATGCATTAACTTCTAAATCTTTTAATTACTATTTTGAATATGCCCGATCTTTCCTTTCAATAATTGTTTATTCTAGTTGAGCAGCTCTATGATAATTATATTTAAATATAGCATAGGGGATGATTTCTGCAACATGATTTCATACTGTTTTTTAAATTTCATTTCTTCAGAACAACAGGATATGGATTTGGACATAGAATTTGATGTGCACCTTGGAATTGCTCATACCCGTTGGGCAACACATGGAGAACCCAATCCGGTCAATAGCCATCCTCAGCGCTCTGATAAAAACAATGGTAAGTATGGACATACAGAGTAATTACAGAGGAAACGATCATGGGAAAAGAATGAAGGGACTTATGCTTTATTTTATCTAATCTAGAAAATTTCAAATACATTTAGAAATAGAGAATATGTGAAATCTGTTGTATCTGTCACCCAGTCTTGAGCATTTATGAGTATATGATCAGTTGTATTTTATCTGTAATCTGCCCTCCCTGCCCAGATTATTTGGAAACTGGTATCTACCATATGGTAGATCACAGAGCAAAGGATTGTACTGCTTAGTCTGTAGAGGTTTCAGTCTATGAAAGATAAGCGTTTAGTAGATTGATGTGTCTCTTAGAGATATCTCCTTTTCCTCCTTTTTCCATACAGTTTACTGAGTCACTTGTCCTTTAGATTTTTCTACCGTATAGATTTTTAGAGTCACATGTTTTTTGTGCTTAACTGAATGTGTCTCTTTGTTCCTTTTATTTTAATGGCAGGATGTTTAATTACATCTGGAAGTATGTAAAGGTAAGGTAAAGGCTCTCCCGTTGATCGTCGATTTGCTCGAGCGGGCCCAGTAACGTCTCCATTGGAGACTTTGTTGTTACTGTGTCTGGCATATCGAATACTCTCGGTAGCTTGCCGGCTCTCCGAGAGGGGCGGAGGAATCGATATGCCAGACACAGTAACAACAAAGTCTCCAATGGAGACGTTACTGGGCCCGCTCGAGCAAATCGACGATCAACGGGAGGGCCTTTACCTTACCTTTACCTTACTTTTTGGGTCACACCTGGCGATGCACAGAGGTTATTCCTGGCTCTGCACTCAGGAATTACTCTAGGCAGTGCTTGGGGGACCATATGGGATGCTGGGAATCGAACCCAGGTCAGCCGCTTGCAAGGCAAATGCCCTCCTCACTGTGCTATTGCTCAAGCCCCTGACACTGGATTTTTTTGCCTCTTGTTAGCAACAATTGATGGTCATTGCCAAGACTCATTTCATTAGGGTTGTTATCCTAATACTATCCTGTACTATCATTACATCTTCCTGTTATCTCAAATATTTGTATAAATAGAAATTCAGTTACTTGATTTCGTTCATGTCAATTTCCCATTTCCCTGACATACTGACTATATAGAAAATGCTTAATGACTCCTCTGTTTATTTGGCCTTTTAAAATTGCAGGATTCTGATGTTCTTAGATGAACAACCCAATTTTGTTTTATGATTTTATTTATCTTAGTCACATCTGGTGATGCTGGGTGTGGGAGTCCTCCCTGCTCTGTGCTCGGCGGCTCTTAGTGCTGGGAGAGTATGTGCTCTGGGGAGTGGGCCCGGGCTTCCCGTCTAAAGCCCTCATAGACCTGTTGTATCTCTTCAACCCCTGATTGATTTTTTTTAATTATAAACTCATGCATTTACCTATTTTGGGGTTCATTTCAAAATAGAGTAACTCTCCTGATGTACAGATTTCCTCATCTTTGGCCACGGGAGCTGAGTCATAATGCTCTTGAGTTCTTTTGATTTGACCCCAGTAATCTAATGAGTGTTTTAGTTTAAGCTAAACTGGATGTTTTAGGTTTATCTAACTCTTGTTAGATAAAGAGCCCATGATTATCTATTTATATCCAAGAGCCCTTGTTCCTTTTAGTGGAAGTGATATTTACAAACCATTAGCCAGTTGTTGGGTTGGATAGTTCAGGGGTGGGGTGTGGGTAAGGCATTTGTCTTGTGTGTAGCTGTAGGGGGCACGACCCCCATTCAATCTTGGGTACCACATACTGGTCCCTGAGCACTGCCAGGAGTGGTTCCTGAACACTGCTTGGTGCTGAGACAGAGAAGTGCTCATTGCCCTTGTGTCTTTTAAATGGACAGAACTAGGCAATATATGTAGTTGTGTGTGTGTATGTGTGTGTGTGTATATTGTGTATGTATGCATACATATATGTTTAAATTTAAAGATTAAGGATCAGTTTATTTTTTATTTTTTGTATTTTTTGTGTTTTGGGCCATACCTTGTGGTGCTCAGGGATTATCCTGGCTCCGTGTCCAGTGATCACTCCTGGCAGGGTTTGCGGGACATATGGGGTTCCAGGGATCATGCCTGGACCATGTGCAAGGCCAGTACCCTACCTGCCATAGTATCTCTTGAGCCCCAAAGCGAACACAGCTTTACACAAACATTTTCTTTTTTTTTCCTTTTTATTTGTTTTTATCGAATCACTTGTGATACAGTTAAAAAGCTTTCATGTTTGAGTTTCAGTCATACAATGATTGAACATCAGTGCACATTCTCCACCATGAATGGCCCGGTATACCCTCCTGCCTCTGTTGGCTGACAATTTCCCCCATACTCTCTCTCTACTTTTGGGCATTATGGTTTGCAATATAGATACTGAGAGGCTATCACATTTGTTCCTTTATCTACTCTAAGCACAAATCTCCCATCCTGAGAAATTCCTCCAACCATCATTGACTTAGTGATCCCTTCTCTATTCCATCTGCCTTCTCCCCCAGTTCATGAGACAGGCTTCGAACTATGGAGCAATATTCCTGGCCCTTGTATCTACTATTATTTTATATTCCACAAATGAGTGCAGTCATTCTATGTCTGTTCCTCTCTGACTTCATCTTTTCTTACAGCTGCATAGAATTCCATTGTGTAGATGTACAAAAGTTTCTTTAATCAGTCGTCTGTTCTCAAGCACTAAGGTTAGTTCCAGATTCTGGCTGTTGTGAACAGTGCTGCAATGAACATACAGGTGCAGATGTTATTTCTGCTGTGCTTTTTTGTACCCTTGGGATATATTCCCAGAAGTGGTATTGTAGGGTAATATTGAAGCTCAAGTTTTAGTTTTTGAAGAAATGCCCATATTGTTTTCCAAAAAGGCTGGACCATTTGGTATTCCCATCAACAGTAAAGGAGCATCCCTTTCTACCCACATCCACGCCAACACTGGTTACTTTTGTTCTTTTGAATGTGTGCCAGTCTCTGCTGTGAGATGATATCTCATTGTTGTTTTGATTTGCATCTCCCTGATAATTTGTGATGCAGAGCAGTTTTTTCATGTGTCTTTTGGCCATTTGTGTGTGTGTGTGTGTATGTGTGTGTGTGTGTGTGTGTGTGTATTTTATTTATTTTTTTGAGGAAGCTCTGTTCATTTCTTCTCCCCATTTTTTGATGGGGTTGGAGGTTTTTTCTTTTACAGTTCTACTAATATCTTGTTTATCCTGGATATTAATCCCATCTCAGATGGGTAGTGGGTAAATATTCTTTCCCATTCTGTGAACTCTTTCTGTAGTATGATCACTGTTTCTTTTGAGGTGCAGAAGCTACTTAGTTTAATGTAGTCCCACTTGTTTATGTTCATTTCCACTTGCTTGGTCAGTGGTGTTTCATCCTTAAAGATGCGGTTAGCTTCAGTGTCGTGGAGGGTTCTGCCCACATTTTCTTCCATGTACCTTATGGATTCAGGTCTGATATTGAGATCTTTAATCCACTTTGATCTGACTTTTGTGCCTGGCATTGTAGAGAGGTCAGAATTCATTTTTTTTTTCAGGTAGCTGTCCAGTTTTCCCAGCACCACTTGTTGAAGAGGTTTTTCTTATTCCATTCATCATTTCTTGTTCCTTTATCAAAGATTAAGTGATCATACGCTTGAAAGTCTGTGACTGAATATTCAACTCTGTTCCATTGGTCTGCGGGTCTGTTTTTAGTCCAATATCATGCTGTTTTAATTACTACTGCTTTGTAGTGCAGTTTGAAGTTGTGGAAGGTGATGCCACCATCTTCTTTTACCAAGGATTGCTTTAGTTATTCATGGAGGTTTATTGTTCCATATGAATTTTAGTGTTTTGTCTATTTCTTTGAAAAATGTCATTAAATCTGTATAGTGCTTTGGGGAGCATTGCCATTTTGATAATGTTAACTAATCCTCCCTATCCATGAGCAGGGGATGTGTTTCCATTTCCTAGTGTCCTCTTTTATTTCTTCAAGTAATGTTTTGTAATTTTCCTTGTATAGGTTCTTCACCTCTTTAGTTAAGCTGATTCCGAGGTATTTGATTTTTTTGAGGTACTACTGTGAACAGGATTGGTTTTTTTTTATATCTCTTTTTTTCTCTTTCATTGTATATAGGAAAGCCATGAACTTTTGGGTGTTGATTTTGTAGCCTGACACTTTACTATACAAGACTATTGTTTCTAGGAGCTTTTTTGTAGAGTCTTTAGGATTTTCTTAGTATCATATCAACCACAAATCGTGATAGCTTGACCTCTTCCTTTCCTATATGTATGCACAAACATTTTCATCAGAGCTTTACGGCATTTACTTAACCTCACTGATGTATGTATTTCCTTTTCGTCACACATTAAAAGCTCTTTTAATACCAGCAACAATTTGATTTACCACATGATATGTATAATACAGAAATGTGAGACCAGTACTGTTATAACAGTATGTTTATTGTTTTTTTATTCTTTTTGTTATTGTGATTAGTGTATTTTTTGTCCATAGGGGATATCTCTCTAGGGATATATAGACAAACTACTGTGTTTGAAAGTTACTTGGAATATTCCTTCTGTATGTGATTGTGCTACCAACCAGATGCAGCATTGTTAATACATTTCATTAATTTTTTTTAAGGATTGATTCTCTTTTTGAGGAAATCAACTTAATTTAAAACTGTTCAAAATATTTGTGTAGATCTGACTTCATGTCTGTAGAACAAGGCAGACCAAAAATCTAATCTCTATTTTATTCTTTTTTGGTGGCCTCCCCAGTGGTGCTAGTCTTTTCCAGAACTGTCCCCACTGGGGCTTGGGACACCTTGAATTGGGCCTTGAACCTCAACCCCTATGCACACAGACCTATGCTCCAGCCCTCTGAGCATTCTCCCCCTCTCCCCTCTCCCTTCCTGTTTCCCTGCTTCCCTCCCTCCCTCCCTCCCTCCCTTCTTGCTTTTTTTAAAAAATTTTTAAATTTTTATTAGACACCATGAGGTACAGTTGTAGACTTACAAATTTTTGTGCTTGGGTTTCAATTATATAATGATCAAATACCCATCCCTCCACCAGTGCCCATTTCCCACCACCACAGATCCCAGTATCCCTCCTACCCCCCACCCCCCCATCCCACCCTGCCCCCCGTGGCAGGGCATTCCCTTTTGTTCTCTCTCTCCTTCTTGCTTTTTTTTTTGCTTTCATTTTGGGCCACACCCAGCAATGCTTAGCAATTACTCCTGGCTCTTTGTTCAGGAATTACTTCTGGCAGTGCTTGGGGGATCATATGGGATGCCAGGGATCGAACCCAGATTGGCCATGTGCAAGGCAAGCACCTTCCCTACTCACTCCAGCCCCCCGTTCTTTTTTTAAAATCAGGTTTTCTAATTGTGGCATCGTGGTCTATAATAGTATTGAAACCATTGTTTTATGTTTCAGTGCTACTGCACCTCTTTTTTCTATTTCTTCTTTCTTATTCCACCTTTCCTTGAAAATAGTCATTTAGTTTATTTCATCTTTAAAAATAAGTAAAATACATATTATGCATATATGTCTGCACTTTTTAGGGTTCTCTTGCTTCACATACTTCTTATTGAGTCAGATTTTTTAAAGATTTTATTATTGAATCACTGTGAGATAGACCCTTAAAAAACTGTTTATGATTAGATTTCAGTCATACAGTGTTCCAATACCCATCCCTTCAGCAATGTACATTTCCCAGCACCAGTGTCCCCAAGGTTCCTTGTCATCATTGCCCCTCCCGCCTGCCTGCCTCTATGGCAGGCACTTTTCTTCTCTCTTTCTCTTTCCCCCTCTTTCCTTCCTTCCCTCCCTTCCCCTTCCTTTGGGGCATTGTGGTTTGTACTACAGATACTGAAAGGTTATCTGGTATATCCCTTTACCGTCTTTTAACATTGAGTCAGATTTAATGCTGATTCACTCAGCATTTTAATACTGACAAGATCTTATTAAACCACTTCTGAAAACTTACATCTGAGTAAGTTTTGAGAATTCTGACTGTAATTCTTTATATCAGCAGTTGCTATTTTTGTTTCTCTGTGTTCTAGCAATATGTTTTTCTCTTGGATTTATTTTTTGTGTGGTGCCATCTTTTCTCATAAAAATTTAGTGGAAGTATTTATTATTTGGTTTATATTGAATTCAGATGCATTTACTGTGAAATCAAAATGTCAAATATTATATTACAAAAATTATGATAGTTTAGTATAAGGCCTCATGATAATTTTCCTTCTGAATTAATATGTCACTGTCACTGTCCTCCCGCTGTTCATCGGTTTGCTTGAGCGGGCCCAGTAACGTCTTCATTGTGAGATCTGTTGTTACGGTGTTTGGCATATCGAATACGTCACAGGTACCTTGCCAGGCTTTGCTGTGCGGGCGAGACTCTCTTGGTAGCTTGCCGGGCTCTCTGAGAGGGGCGGAGGAATCGAACTCAGGTCGGCTACGTTGGCCACTTGCAAGGCAAATGCCCTACCCGCTGTGCTGAATTAATATGAATTTATTTTCTTTTGGGGAGCGGGCACACCTGCGCAGTGTTCAGGACTTAATCCTGGCTCTGTGCTCAGGGATCACTCCTGGTGGTGCCTGGGATCAAACCCTGGTTGGCTGCATGCAAGGCGAGTGCCTTGCCCACTGTATTATGACTCTGGCCCTGAATATGAATTTTAAATAATAAATCCACTCTGGTATGTTTACATGCACTGTTAGTGGCCACATTGTCAACTGTTGAATCGTTCAAAAAAAAGATTAAAATAGTCCCACTATCTTATCTATTTGATCCTGGAATTCTATTTTGACATTCTTGTATCTGACATTCTAGGAATTAATCTCAGCTAAGTTATTTCTCAGTGTCTGGCTTTTCTTATTAACTTCTTTAGTTTTAGTTCTTACATTCCGTATAAATCAGATCATTGTTTTTGTGTGAAAGGCTCTCTCTTTAAATTTAGGAATGTTCTGTGCATAATTAGAATGAATGAACAAAGAAGCGAGAATAACCCGTAAATAGTTCAGCCCTCTCATTTTGTAAATAAGGAGACAGGCCCAGGAACTGCCTGACTTTCTATGGCGATAGAAGACAGAAGTTTAGCCACAACCAAAACTGGTGTCCAGAGGACCCAATTTAATGTATTTCTCTACTCTACCCACTGCGTGTTTTCAGCAGACCACATAAAACATAGTGTCATCTATTTGAGGAAAATCTGACTATGATAAGAAATGATAGTTGATTATATCTGGAAGGATAAAATAAAGTAAAGGCCCTCCCGTTGTTCATCGATTTGCTCGAGCGGGCCCAGTAACGTCTCCATTGGAGACTTTGTTGTTACTGTGTTTGGCATATCGAATACATCACGGGTAGCTTGCCAGGCTCTGCCATGCGGGCGAGATACTCTCGGTAGCTTGCCGGGCTCTCCGAGAGGGGCAGAGGAATCGAACTCGGGTTGGCCATGTTGGCTGCGTGCAAGGCAAACGCCCTACCGCTGTGCTATCGCTCCAGCCCTTTAGTTAAGTTTATTCAGAGAGCCCGGCAAGCTACCTCGGAGAGCCCGGCAAGCTACCGAGAGTATTCGATATGCCAGACACAGTAATAACAAAGTCTCCAATGGAGATGTTACTGGGCCCGCTCGAGCAAATTGACGATCAACGGGAGGGCCTTTACCTTACCTTTTTACCTATTCTCAGAGAGAGCAGAGTGATAGTACTGCTCGAGCAAATCGATGATCAACGGGAGGGCCTTTACTTAATTATCTGGAAGGATAACATGCGACAAACTTCTTGACTTCAGAAGACTGTTAACAAATGTCTCACAGTATTTGCCAGACCTGTAATTTTTTTGTCATCAATGCTTTGATCTCGTAGAATTCATTGTTATTCACAACGGAATCATCACCAACTACAAAGACTTGAAAAAGTTTTTGGTAAGTGAAAAGACATCAGACCTATCTTTTATGAATATCTTTAAAAAATGACTCCCTGTCTCCTCCCTCCTTCAGGGGTGGCACACAGTGCTCAGTGGGGACCACACGTTGGGTCACGCTGTGCATACTTGCCAGTGGCGCTCACCGAGGTTTGTTTACACACAAGCCAACACGCTTTGAGAACATTCCCTAGTGCCAAGGAATGGACCCACAGCCTCACACATGCAAGGCATGTGCAGTACCACTGAACCACATCTTCAGTTCCCTGAGAATGTTCTTGAGGTGGGGAGGTGGGGGAGGGGAGGGAAATTGCAGGGAATCATACCCAGCTGTGCTCAGGGATCACTCCTAGTGGTGCTGGGGGGACCAAATGCAGCTCCAGCAATCGAAGCTGGGTCAGCCATATGCAGGGCAAGCTCCTTCACCACTGTAGTTAGTATCTCTCTGGCCTTGGTGTTTTGGTCAATTTTATTTTCAGCACTGTGATTGGCAGTACTGGTAGTGACAGGGATTCGTGTATGAAACATTCCAACAGCACACCCACTACCAGAGTGTCAGCATCCTTCCACCATTGTCCCAGTGCCTCCTTCCTCCCCTCCACCTTTCATCCTGTCCTATCCCCTCCTCATCCCCCACCTCCCATCGTGATATACTTTCTACTAAAGACCTGTTCTCAGTTTCTCTTCTCTGGCCCAAGTTTTATTTCTTGAATGGAAAAATAAAAAGTTCTTTGGCTTTATTATGAATGATCCCAAAACTCAAAACACAATTAGACTGGGAGGTACAGTGGTTAGGATGCATTCTAGGCCCAGGTTTGATTCCTGGTACCATCTGGTCCCTGAGCATTGCTGGATGCAGCCCTGGTGGATCCCAAGTTCACCATGGTGGCCCAGGTATCCCTGGCATCCGAGGACCTGAGTTCATCACATTTCCCGGCCTTGCACAGAAACCCAGTTTCCTTCCCCCCACCCAAGAATCAGAATTGTGGGAGGACATCATTGTGAGAGGCCTTGCTTGCCATTTTAAAGAGATTTGGGGGGTTGGAATGATAGAGTATGGGGCTTCAGGTGCTTTCCATGCATGTGGATAGTCTCTGTTCAATCATTGGCCCTATATTGCCCCCCTGAGCACTGCTGAAAGTACTCCTCAAGCATGAAGCTGGATGCATTCCCCATATATTCACCAAACCGAAACCAAAGCTGAACCAAGACGAAACAAAAAGATTCTAGGCGGGACCTGGAGCTGCGGCTCAGGTGGTGAACACTTGCCTCTCGTGGCACTGGGCAACTACTACTGTGCATCGCCTTGTTTCCCGTGGGGACCAACACCACAAGAATAACACAAATGAAATCAAAGTAAGAAAGATTCTAGGCTGTAGAAGGACCATTTGCGGGAACAAGGAAGGCACCTGGCATCAGCTGCTCTGTATCGTGTGATGGTGGTCAGGATGATGCGCTCCCTTGGGCCTTCTCAGGCGCTCCTTGCCCACTTCCTGCAGCGAGGGACCCTCGACTGTCCATGCGCGCTGGTGGACTCGGACAGCTGAGGCACTGCATTAGAAGTTTTATGCCCTTTGAAATTTGAATAGACACATACATGGCTGTATCAGACAACGCAGTTTCAACCAAGGAAGAATCATTCATGACGAAATTAGTGTTTCATGTTCCACATTTTAATGATGTGAAGCTCAGTGCACAGGTGGCTCACTGTTCATGTGGTTATGAAATGTGCACAGTCACACCTGTTTTGAAGACGAACTGTCATCAGGTGGTGATCTTCATTTTGGACAGTGGATATTGGAAGATGGTGGTCCTCAAATACTAAATGTTGATTAGAGAAAAAATTTCAAAATTATAGTAAATATATTTACAGTGGTACTGACAGTGGTCTTGGTGGACATAGTGAGTGACCTCCCCTCACCATCAGTCATGTGTCCAAGATCCCACTTGACACCTCCAGCCCACCTGTTCTTTAATTTGTTTATTTGAGGGCCATGGCTGGCAGTGCTTAGAGCACAACCTGGCTCTGAACTCAGTAATCACTCCTGGCAGTGCTCGGGGGACCATATGGGGTGCTAGGGATGGAACCCAGGTGGACTGCTTGCAAGGCATACACCTTACCCTCTGTTCTATCGCTTCAGCCCCCTGACCCACTCTTTTGAGGAAGAAGATTCTGTAGAAAAAATTTGAATGTCATGAATATTTCCTTTTTTTCTTTTAAATTACAGGAAAGCAAAGGTTATGACTTTGAGTCTGAAACAGACACAGAGACCATTGCCAAGCTCGTTAAGTACATGTATGACAATCGAGAAAGTCAAGATACCAGCTTCACAACCTTGGTGGAGAGAGTTATCCAGCAATTGGTATTAAACTGTATTTTCAAAGATAATTTTTGCCAGCAATGACTAGCATAAACTTTTAAGTAACTTTAATCAGCAGAATCTATGCTTAGTTTGACTTCTATTTCATATATATATATGTGTATATGTGTGTGTCTATATGTGTATGTATATAGACACACATTATATATTGAATATATATAGAATCATATTTTATATGATCAACTTGAGTAACTCTGAAACCCTATAATTTGACTTGGTCATCCTTTCCTTTCCACATACGTGTAAACAACTCGACCTTTATTTTATAGTTGTTTTGTGTTATGAGGATTAACAATAATCTCCTGGGCCTTGGGCTAGGGCTCAATGGAATGGAGCACCTGCCTGGTCTATGTGAGATGCCAAATTTGACCCCCAGCCCCACATCCCCCCACCTCTACCAAGCACGAGGGCATCAGGTGTGGCAGGGCTGGGCCAGGCCTGGGAGCACTGAACCACCAGCTTTGCACTCCAGAGCCTCAGAATCAAACAGCTTGTCTGAAACGTTGGTATCTGAAATGTGTAAGTCCACCGTCAGCACACACGAGCACGTATGCAGTGCTCCTCATGGAGAACTGGCTCACTCGTGTCCTCCTACTAGTCGCTTAGCATGAGGGTAGCATGACTGTTAGGAGTTAATGTCTGTCTCTGAACACTCTTATTTTTCCATATACTTTTTGCATTTATGTTGGCCCCTACTTCTATAGAAAGGTATTTCCCAGCTTGAGAAAAGTGTTGTTACTGTTATTATTCTTGTTCAGGTACTTAGGGGTCTCACTTGGTGCTCACAGACGCTGCTGGCTCTGTGCTCAGGGTTCTCTCCTGGCAGTACGGGGGACTAGATGGTGCTGAGGATCTAACAGGGTCAGCCACCTGCAAGGCAAGCACATTTGTTTCAATGGCTTTTCTCTCTGGCCCCAGAAGAGTAATATTCTTTTTTTTTTTATTTTTTGGGTCACACCTCAGCGATGGTCAGGGGTTACTTCTGGCTTTGCACTCAGAAATTACTCCTGGAAGTGCTTGGGGATCATATGGGATGCTGGGTGGCCAGGTTGGATGAAGGTGCAGGGGCTCTTGCATGCATGGTTTGAGGGTTGATCTGTTTTGTACTTCAGTACTTTCCTGAGCTCAGTATCACACACTCGTGGCTCTGGGGATTCTAAACCGCAGAGCACTGGAGTTCACACTGGCCCCTGTGGCGTGCTGCTGGGGATCGAGCTCGTGTTGCACCTGTTGCATGCTTGCAGAGTAGGCACTCTGCCTTTGAGCTCCCCTCATCCTCGAGTGGCCTTTGTGGTCCCAGCCAGTTGCCTAACAGAAGACTTAAGACATCAGAGATCCAAAGAATTCCAAAGGCATAGTAATGCCCACACCTTTCCCCCGACACTCAGAATTCTAGCTTTTCTATTTAAAAGGCCTTTGCTGCTTTTCTTTGCCCAAATTTAGCCCTCACCTTCTGCCGCAAAAGGAGGGATTGGGAAATTGGAGTAGTAATGTGCTCCAGGCAGAAGTCATGTCCTACCCACACCCTACCCCTTCTTTTTCCTGTTCATTGTATAACCTGGTTTGTGTTCTGTGGTAATTCCTTCATATTCCTACTTTTTGTTACTTATTCATTTTTTTGTTTTTTTTGTTTTGGGGCCATACCCAGCAGTACTCAGGGGTTACTCCTGGCTCTACATGCAGGAATTACTCCTGACAGTGCTCTGGGGACCATAGGTGATGCCGAGGTTTGAACCCAGGTTGACCGAGTGTAAGGAAGATACCCTCCAGTCCCTTATTTACTCATTTATTTTGTTTGGGGGCCACACTGGCCGTATTTGGAGCCACCCTGGTTTGGTGCTTGGGAGTTTATCCTCATGGTCCTTGGGATTTCGGGGTGCCTGTTCTTGTGTTCCATCCCTTGGAGCTGTCACCAAGCTCCCCAGAGTTCAGTTTTTATTTCTTCAGCTCCCAGTAACTTAGGATGTTCGGTTGAGGGAATGGCAGTGTGTAAATGCCAGTAATTGTGATCATATAAATTTTTACCTTTAATATAAAGGTCAAAAAAGAATGAAAGCATGTAAAAGTTAACAGTCGTGTAAAATTGGGGCAGAAGCAATAGTACAGCAGGTAGGGTTCTTGCCTTCCATGTGCCCGGCCTGGGTCCTTCAGATCCCTGGCATCTCATATGTTCGCTTGAGCTTACCGGGAGTGATCCTTGAGCAAAGACCCAGGAGTAAGCCCTGATGAGCACTTTTGGGTGGACCCCAAACAAAAATTAAAAGTATTATAAAATTACTAGATAACAGGTTTTAGATACTGTGCTTGGTGTCTTTTCTATTTCTGTCCTTTTTCACTAATGGAGATCAGCTGTGTCTATTGAGAAATATTGGTAACATATCCAAGAATAAATTTTAAAATAGTCTATTGTGGAAATGTTATCTATTGAACATATTTAAAAAGTGGGTTTGATTAAAAAGCCAATATTGAGTATACCAAATCTCTAGTGTATATACCTAGAACATAGATTCTTTTATAAATAAGCATAAAAGAGCAATGGATGAACAAAAAATTTCTGTTCTGAAGCCAGTAGTTTTTAAACATTTGATAATTGAATGTGATAAAATATTGCTAATGCATTTTTCCCCCTTATGTAGGAAGGTGCTTTTGCACTTGTATTTAAAAGTGTTCATTTTCCTGGTCAAGCAGTTGGCACAAGGTACATATAAATTCAATTGTGACTAATAATGTGTTTTGAGACATTTGAACTGCAAGTTTATTGTTTATGTACTATAAATAACCCTTCAACTATCAAGATTTTATTCTTTCTTAAAGATACCCTTATTGAATGTACTTATTTGAACAAACTTCTTATCATATTTCACCTTTCTTTCATTTAACGGAATTCTTTTTTTTTTCTCTTTTTTTTTTTTTTTTTTTTTTTTGCTTTTTGGGTCACACCCGGCAATGCACAGGGGTTACTCCTGGTTTTGCACTCAGGAATTACTCTGGCGGTGCTCAGGGGACCATATGCGATGCTGGGAATCGTACCCGGGTCAGCGTGTGCAAGGCAAACACCCTATCTACTGTGCTATTGCTCCAGCCCCATCATTTAACAGAATTCTTTCACTGTCCTTCCCTTGTTCATCGATTTGCTCGAGCAGGCCCAGTGACATCTCCATTGTGAGACTTGTTACTGTGTTTGGCATATCGAATATATCACAGTAGCTTGCCAGGCTTTGCCGTGCGGGTGAGATACTCTCGGTAGCTTGCCGGGCTCTCTGAGAGGGGTGGAGGAATTGCACCCGGGTCTTCCGGGTCGTCTGCATGCAAGACAAACACCCTACTTGCTGTGCTATTGCTCCAGCCCAAAAGAATTCTTTAATAGAGAAAATACATTTTGGCATTTGTCTGTGGTGGGAAACCATGGTTGCATTGTGAATTAGCCTATTGAATACTTTCTAATTCCAGGTCCAAAACATACATTGACTTCCTCCACTTTATATTATCTTTTTGAAGTGTTTATTCTAGACAGAATTCTAGATAATTTTACCAATACTGCTTTTGCTAGAACATTAAGTCTAACCATGAACTTCTTTAAAAAAAAAAAGTAAACCCTTTTTCAGAGCAATGAGGAACTCTAAAATTTGGGAAAAGAGTGGTACTTAATTTTTATCATGATTATTATTTTGATGTGCCTTTTGAGCCATTCCCAGCTGAATTTAAGGACTTAGTCCTGACTTTATGCTCAGGATCACTCCTGACAGTGCTCAGGGGACCTTGTGGGGTGCTGGAGATAGAACATGGGTTGCGCCCACATAAAACAAGTAGTAGCTTACCTGCTGTGCTGTGCAGCCCCTAAGAGAGCTACTTTAATATGTGAGCATAGCCTAGGTGAAAGGGATCATCTTATTTTGAGAATATATACATATATACATATATATATATATAAAACACCTTATTGTTTTAAATGACTTTTGAGATTTTTTATGTTCACCAGAGTTCTGTCTTCAGTTGAAAGAAAGAATCCATTTGGCATTAAAAGGGGAAAAAAATTCTAAATACATTGTTGAGAACAGGAGTTGGTTGGTAATTTTTTTTTCTTTCTGTAATGGGCCTACGTTAATATCTTAGACTTTCAGACTCAAATGGGATCTTATATTTGAGCCCTTAGCACTGCTGTGAAAGTATATGTAAAAGGATGGAAATAGTTGTGTTCAAATAAAAAAGAGAAATCTGCAACTGGGGAAGATTGCATATCATTAAAAATCTGAAATTATGTGGAAAATTTAAATGTTTAAATTTTCATCAAGTTAGAAGTATTTAGCATCCCTGCATTACCTGTAAAGATGACTTAATTCTTTTTAATTTTATGATAATAGACGTGGTAGTCCTCTGTTGATTGGTGTACGAAGTGAACACAAACTCTCTACTGATCACATTCCAATCCTCTACAGAACAGGTAAAAACTATTCATATGTCTTGTCCTGGGGGAAATGTGTAACTTGAGTGCAGTAGATATGTAAAGAATGTTTTCTTTAAGTTGGAATCGATTCCCCTTTAGTCATATCCATTTATATACGTAGTGTGTCTAGACATGAAAAGGATTTGTTTTTATGATTTTTCTGACGAGTAGATTTTTTTTCTGTTGTATATCCTTAGCTAGGACTCAGATTGGATCAAAATTCACACGGTGGGGATCACAGGGAGAAAGAGGTGGGAAATGCACTCTGCATGGATGGGGAGGAATCTTATCCTCTTTTGTTCATTCTTTACTAATTCTTTGTTCTTGGAGTGATTGAATGTGCTGGGCTTCTCTAAAAATGTGCTTATTATGGGGAAACATAATTTTGACATTTTCCTAATTTGCAGAGTATATTTTGTCTGTCTGCTTTTGGCATTTAGAAAACTGCTTTTAGTAATTTGTTTTAAAGTATCTTGAAATTTGATGAAATACTTGAAAATTATAACATTTTTTTCTGTTTTTAAATTAACACTATGTAATTAGAATACATTATTATAACTAAGATTAAGACAAGAACATTATGTACTAGGCTATTATGGATTACACTCAGTAGCAGAATTTGAATCATTTACTAACTTAACTGAAATAATTTTGAATGATCGTTATTTTTTGTATGATATTTTACTTTTAGGTTTACATTTAATGTCTTGATTAGCTTTGTTTGCATTTGGAACTGTTATTTCTATTATTTATATTTAAGGTTTATTTGTACTTTCTCACTTACCTAAAGTTTGATAGGCCTTTTAGCTATAAAGTTTGGATTGTTTCATTGACAGGATTAGAAAAACAACACGGTGTGCTTTTCCATTTACTTACTGCTTAAAGCAGTCCATGCCAAAGAATTGAAACCCACATCATTTTTAATGTATAATTCATGATCTCTCTCTCTCTCTCTCTCCTTTCTCTCTCTCTCTCTCTCTCTCTCTCTCTCCCCCCCCCTCCTTTCTTTCTCTCTTTGAGATGATGTAACTTGTTTTAGTTAGTCCTTATTTCTCTGCTAGTAGGCAGTTAGTAGGTGATTCTGTTGAGTTGCAGTAGCGTAGAAGAGGAGATGGAAAGGGGGAGCCCTAGGGAAACTCTCAGGTGTTTGCTCTTTTTCTCCAGATGTTCCAATTGATCAAATAGAGTGAAACGAAAATAATTGTGGACTGCTTAAGTTGGAGGAAGTCATATACCAGACAGAGCATTCATGTTCTTTTTATTTAAAGTAGACCAATTGATACCTCAAATTCTTCTAAATAGTGTAATTGAATGTGCTTTGTTACTTGAAGAATGAAATAAGTGATATTTAGAGAAGGAGTGCCCCAGTGTGGCATTTTCTTTCTTTTTTTTTTTTTCTTTTTGGGTCACACCCGGCAATGCTCAGGGGTTACTCCTGGCCTGGCTCTGCACTCAGTAATTACTCCCCGTGGTGCTCAGAGGACCATATGGGATGCTGGGAATTGAACCGGGGTCAGCCTCAAGCAAGAGAAACGCCCTACCCACTGTGCTATCGCTCCAGCCCCAGTGTGACATTTTCTAATGAAGCTCTTGGGTTTCTTTAAAACATGTAGGCGCCGAGCCGTGCCTTGAATACTGAGCTTCTCAGCCTTTTTCTGACTGGGGCCCCCTTCAGAACTTGTTTCCTTCCTGTGACCCCCACATCCAATCTGTTGGTTCCCTGGTCTCCTGCCGTGACCCTGTTTATGTGATTTCTCATCTGAGCCCCCTTGGAATGTCCTGGGGGCCTGCAGGAATCATGTGGGTCCCAGCTGAGAAACACTGCTTTAGCATACTTTTTAGTTCATTGGTTTTTATATAAAGTTTTGATGTATGGTTTTGAGTCTTGGCAAATTCAGAGTTATAGAACCACAGCTGCTATCAAAGGTATAGATTAGTTTCAACCCCCATTGCCCCACTCCAGTTCCCTCTCGTCCCTTTGTAGTAAACTCTGCCTCCTTTCCACCCCTGGAAAACACTGATCTGTTTTACTTTTCTATAATGTTTCCCTGTTCTAGAGGTCAAGTCTTAATAGACATGTTTTAGAGGATAGACACAATATTAGTTTTTACAAGTAGGCTTATTTTTATCTATTTTTTTTTTCCGGTTTTGGGTGGGAGTCATACCTGGCAGTGCTCAGGACTTACTCCTGGCTCTGTGCTCAAGGATCACTCTTGTTGGTGATCAGGGGACCATATGAGGTGACAGGGAGCGAGCCCAGGTTGAGTGCATACAAGGCAAGTGCCCTATGTAGGCCCTTGTACTCTGTCTCTGGCCTCTGTCCCCTAAAATTTTTCTTCATTGTTGTGGGGGCCACTGCTAACAGTGCTGGGTTCGGGGAGTATATAATGCTGGGGATTGAACCCAGGGCCTCATATGTACATGCTGTGTCCTCTACTCCAGCCCAGGTATCAACTTTTGACTTTGACAGTGAGCAAAAAGGTGTGGGGGGAAAACCCATCAGTGACAATCTGTTTGAAATGTCAGAATTCTAGTGTTAGGAGCACAGAATTGCCAAAATACCATATTTTATCCTGATCAAGAAATGTCTGAAAACTTAATTTTAAGAAAGAAGTTTTGGGTGTATGGTAGTCCAGTCTTGGCAGCAGGTGGAACAGTGCTGGACTGTGGTAAGGGATGTGAGCATCTTGGCTTTCACACCAGAGTTAGTGTGGGCTAAGCTTGATCACCTCTGCTGACTTAAAGCTTAGAGAAGTTTTGTTGCAAGATAATGAACAAATTTGCCACTATCCTTCATTTCATTTTGTATGCACAGTTTTGATATTTTAAATAATTTTTAAATCAGTTTAGATACACTAACTTTTATGTCATAATTCCAAGAAGTTTTGTAGAAAGTTAAATTAAGACTAGTCTGTACATACTTTAACAACCCAGAAAAAGTGATTAATAGCTTTACCTGGGGAAGAAAGATCTGGAAAATGATAATGTGCACTAGTTCCTGCCACGCTCTCTTCAATAGTTGCTGTTTCACTCTTCACTACATGTCTGTTATTTTCATTGGCTTATTGCATGAAGTAAGATGATCTACCTGGCATTTTTAATTGCTATAATTATTTTTTGTTGCTATGGGGTTTTTTTTTGGTTGTTGTTGGTTGTTGTTGATTCTATAGAAAATCACGTATATTTAGATGCTAGCCATACATTTCTCTATACATTTACCAATTTGTGTTAACTTTGTGCTCCAGGGAAAGACAAGAAAAGCAACTGCAACCTCTCGCGTGTGGACAGCACAACTTGCCTTTTCCCGGTTGAAGAAAAAGCAGTGGAATATTACTTCGCTTCTGATGCAAGGTCCGCATCCTGGGCTGATTCCGAAGGAATTTTAAACTTTTCATGCCATAGGAAGCAGAGAAGTCTTCCAATGGCATTCATTTGTAGAATGTGTGTGTGTGTGGGGTGAGGTGGGCCAAGCCCAGCTGTGCTCAGGACTTACCCCTGGCTTTGTGCTCAGGGATCGCACTTGGTGGGCTAAGGGACAATATGGAATTCCGGGAATCCAACCTGGGCTGACCCACGAAAGGCAGAGCCCCACAAAGCTTTACTTAAATGTGGAAGCCTTAATTCAAGACTAATTTGCAACACAATTACCTTTTTTTTTCCTTTTGGTTTTTGGGTTACCACTCCCAGTGTCATGCTTTTATAAAGAAAATAGTATTAAACTAAGACATTTGAGACTAAATGCAATGGTTAACTGCACTTATCAATGAAAAACTATAAGTATTGAGGATAAAATGGAATCACTCAAATTGCTAGCAAGTATTTTAGCCATTGATATGCCAGAAAGCTAAGAAGATCTAACAGTGAAGAAGTCATTTGGTTTAAGACTTTAGAAAACATAGTGTTTTGTTTTGTTTTTAAAAAAACAGCTTCAGTGGCTGGAGCGATTGTGATAGCACAGTGTAGGGCATTTGCCTTGCACGCGGCCGACCCAGGTTCAATTCCCAGCATCCCATATGGTCCCCTGAGCACCACTAAGAGTAATTCCTGAGTGCACGAGCTAGGAGTAATCCCTGTGCATCGCTGGGCATGACCCCCCAAAAAAGCAAAGGTAAAGGTAAAGGTAAAGGCCCTCCCGTTGTTCGTCGATTTGCTCGAGCGGGCCCAGTAGCGTCTCCATTGGAGACTTTGTTGTTACTGTGTTTGGCATATCGAATACGCCCTGGGTAGCTTGCCAGGCTTTGCCGTGCGGGCGAGATACTCTCAGTAGCTTGCCGGGCTCTCCGAGAGGGGCCAAGGAATCGAACTCGGGTCGACCATCTTGGCTGCGTGCAAGGCAAACGCCCTACCGGTTTGTTATCGCTCCAGCCCAACAAACAAAAAACAGCTTCACTGTTTTCTAAGTTTTTGCAAGTATATAGTCAGTGCTAAGGTGAATTTTTGGTGTCATTAAATAGGTTACAGTGTTGTGGCTAGAGAAGTAGTAGAGGGAGGAGCGTCCAGGCCTTGCATAATACAGCCAAACCCTGTTTGGTTAACTAGCACCACCTAGTCCCCTAAGCATCCTTGAGTGTGGCCCAGAAGTCCAAGTGACCCCCAGCACCACAGGACCCAGACAGCACTGCATCCTCAGGCCTTTGATTAAAACCTCAACCAGGAGTCCCCCAGCATGGCTTTGGAGGCCCCCTCAAAGCACTTCTGCTTACTGAGTTGATGGAGGTGGCCTGAATTAACCAGAAATCACAAAGATACAGTAAGCCTTTTATCACTTACTCACACGTTTACCTGAACACTGAGCAAAGCCATGTACTAGGTTGATAAGATAATGGGGAGGAAAAGGAAAAATTACTTACCCACGTGAAGCATTTCTTTTTTGGAGGAGACTTTTATCAATAATCACACAAATGTAAAATTTACTTGTGACCAGAGCTTCAGAATGCCTCAAACATGGCCCAGGGGCCCACAGGTGGTGTGGGGTATTGGCCTGGCTACTGCCACATTCAAGGAAGTGTCTTAACCCCTCTTCTGCCTCTCTGGCCTTGGCTTTTTTTTTTTTTTTTGTGGGCCATAACTGGAGGTTGTTGGGGAACCATACTCATGCTGGAGATAGAACCCTGGGGATGCAGCCATCTTCCTGGGTCCTCTGGGAGAACTTGTAATTAGAGTTGGAGAGTGTCGTCTAATTGCTGTTTGGGCAGAAGCAGGTTGGTGGGAAGGTCTCTGAGGGAATGGAATGAAGCTGGGTGTGCAGTAAGGAATCCAACCAAGAGACTGGAGAACTTGGACTGGCCGACACAGAAGGGGGATAACACTTTGGAGGACTTGGTGAAAGAATGAGGAGGAAGTAGCTAAACATTTCTCTCTGCTCTAGTCTTAACTCTGTGAGGCACCAAGATTTTGTTATTCATGGTCTCTAGTAACCTCCCCTTTCCACTCACCCCTGTTAGGAATGGCACTGACAGCCAGTCAGTTAACAGAGATGGCACAGAGTCAGAGTTTGTCTTTAAATTTGACTCTTGGGAGGTCTGAAACAATAGCACAGAGGGTAGGGCATTTGCCTTGCACGCAGCTGACCCAGGTTCGATTCTCAGCATCCCATATGATCCCCTGAGCACTGCCAGGAGTGATTCCTGAGTGTAAACCCAGGAGTAACCCCTGTGCATTGCCAGGTGTGACCCAAAAAGAAAAAAATTGTTAAATTTGGCCCTTGTGTCTAATGAGGGTTTTATTTATTAATTTTGGTTTGGGGGCGGGGCACACCTGTTGATACTCAGGGGTTACTCCTGGCTTTGTACTCAGGGATCACTCCTGGCGGTGCTCAGAGGGGACCATATGGGGCATCAGGGATCAGACCCGGGTTGGCTGGGTGCAAGGCAAGCGCCCTACTCTCTGTACTAGCTGTCTGGCCCCAGCTGGTTTTCTTTAAAATAGCCTTCTCTGATTACTAACTGTGCTGTCTCCTTGGCCCCTTTATAGTGCAGTCATAGAACACACCAATCGGGTCATCTTCCTGGAAGACGACGACGTTGCTGCGGTGGTCGATGGCCGTCTTTCCATCCACAGGATTAAACGTACTGCGGGAGACCACCCTGGGCGAGCTGTGCAGACCCTCCAGATGGAACTGCAGCAGATCATGAAGGGTGAGTGCCCTCGTCCTGCTTCCTGCCCTAGAGTGGGCATCTGAGCACATGATGCTCTGGAACGGCCTTGTCCCAGAAATTGGAAGAATCTGTGAAATGCTCTGCTGGGCTGATAGTTCTGCTTTGTTGTTTCTAAGAAAAAGAAGAGAAATGTGAAAAACAGATCATGTAAACAGTATTTGATATTTGACTTTATATCTTGAGGGGCTTATGCTCACTAGTACCCAGGGGACTGTTCTTAGCTCTGTGCTTAGGAGCACACCCTGGTGGTTTTGGGGAGACCAGATGTGGTACCAGGGGTTCCAGCCAAGGTTGTGCTGCATATGCGTGCAAGACAAGTGCCTTGCCACCTGGACTCTCTCTCTGGCTCAGTATTTGGTATTATTTTAGGAGCATGATTTATATTCTGTTTTTATTATTATCTTCATCCCTCCCCCATACTTGAGTTTTCTCATATATAAAATGAGGATAATAGGACCTTTGTTAAGGTTATATTGCGACGAGCCAGAGAGACTGCCCAGCAGACTGTGTGCTTTGACTGCATTCAGGAAGCCCCAGTTCGATCCCTGGCACATCAGAGTCCCCTGAGTACCACCTGGAGTAGCTGACCTCCTTCACAAGACCACAGGGTGCAAACCTCTTTTTTAAAAATATTGGGGATCAGAGTGTTAAACACAGGTAAAGGGATATTCTTGATAACCTTTCAGTATTGATATTGCAAACCACAGTGCCCAAAAGGAGAGAGAAAGAGACAGAGATAGAAACAGAGAGAGAAGAAAAGTGCCTGCCATAGAGGCAGGCAGGGGGTGGGGGGCACTTGGGGCATGATGGGCGGGAACCTGGGGACATTGGTGCTGGGAAATGTACACTGGTGGAGGGATGGGTATTGGAATACTATATGACTGAAATCTAATCATGAACAGCTTTGTAAGGGTCTATCTCACAGTGATTCAATAAAAATAAATAAAAATAAAAATATTGAGGATCAGAGATAGTACAGTGGATAGGGTGCTTGCTTGCATTGTGTGTAGCCCACTCAGGTTTGAGCCCCAGTACCGTATATGGTTTCCCTGACTCTTTCTAGGAGTGATCCCTGATCACAGAGCCAGGAGTCAGCTCTGAGCATAGCCAGGTGTGGCGAAATCCCCATCCACACACATCACTCCCCCCCCCCCCAAAAAAAAAAACAACTGTTTGGAGAATTAGGAGAGCTAATATATGCAAAACCCTTAAAACAGTATCTGACACATCTAATAACAGAAAAGCAGATAAGCCCCTGTGGAGTGTTTGATGCTTTTGATTATTGTATTGTGATTTTTATTTTTTCTCCTTCTGATGAGATTGTGATGGGACTAAAAGCTAACATTTATTGCTCAGCTGCTAGATGTTATGTCTTCCCCCCCCCCCCCTTTTAGTTGTAGGGTTTTCGTGGGCAATGCCAGAGCTTATTCCTGGCTCTGCACTCAGGGATCACTCCTGGTGGGGCTTGTGGGACCGTATTAGGTGCTGGGGACAGAGTCTGGATCGGCTATGTGCAAAACAAGCATCCTACCCACTGTACTAGATGTTCAGTCTATCATTTTAATTCACTGTATAGTTGCTATGAAATAGCTGCATTTTTACTTTATACATTAAAGATGATTTTCTAAGCCACTTAGCTTATAATGGGTAGAATGATGATTTGAAACTTAGGTCTGACTCCAAAATTTAAGCTTGTCCCACAACCTTGTTAAGCTCTAATGGTGTATTTTAAGTTTAAAAGCTAATTAGAGTATTTTTTTCTCTTTTAGTTGATCATTTTTTCTTCACAGGGGGTAAAATATGAATACTACTCTATTACATGGCCTTCTGCCTCATTTCTTTGCTAAGATCATTTATTTTTTAAATTGAATCACCATGAGCTACACTTACAAAGCTTTCTTGTTTGAGTTTCAGTCATACAATGATTGAACACCCATCCCTCCACTGGTAATTTTCCATCACCAGTGTCCCCAGTATTCCCTGCCCTCATCCTACACTATCCCCTTCCTCTATGGGAGACAATTTCCTTCTTACACTCTCTACTTTGGAGCATTATGATTTGCAACACAGATACCGAGAGGTCATCATGCTTGGTCCTTTATCTACTTTCAACACACATCTCCCATCCTAAGCAATCCCTCCAACCATCATTGACTTAGTGATCCCTTCTCTATCCCACCTGCCTTCTCCCACTGCTCACAGGGCAGACTTCCAACCATGGAGCAATCTTCCTTGCCCAGTCTCTACTGTCCTTGGGTGTCAGTCTCACATTATGTTATTTTATATTCCAAAAATGAGTGCAGTCATTTCATGTCTATCCCTCTCTTTTTGACTCACTTAGCATGGTACTCTCCATGTTCATTCACTTATAAGCAAATTTCATGACTTCTTCTTTTCTAATAGCTGCATAGTATTCCATTGTGTAGATGAACCAAAGTTTCTTTAAACCAGTCATCTGTTCTTGGACACTCGGGTTGTTTCCAGATTCTGGCTACTGTGAACAGTGCTGCAATGAACATACAGGTGCAGATGTCATTTCTGCTGTGCTTTTTTGCACCTTCAGGATATATTCCAGAAGTGGTATTGCAGGGTTATATGGAAGCTCAATTTCTAGTTTTTGAAGAAATGCCCATAATTTTTTCCAAAAAGGCTGGACCAGTGAAGGAGCATCCTTTTCTCTCCACATCCACGCCAACGCTGATTGCTTTTGTTCTTTTGAATGTGTGCCAATCTCTGTGGTATAAGATGATATCTCATTGTTGTTTTGATTTGCATCTCCCTGATGATTAGCGATGTAGAGCATTTTTTTCATGTGCCTTTTGGCCGTTTGTATTTCTTTTTTGAGGGAGCTTCTGTATTTCTACTCCCCATTTTTTGATGGGGTTGGAGAATTTTTTTGGTACCGTTCTGCTAATGTCTTTTATATCATGGATATTAACCCTTTACCTGATGAGGATTGGGTAAATATTCTTTCCCATTCCGTGGGCTCTCTCTGTATTTTGGTCACTGTTTCTTTTGAGGTGCAGAAGCGTCTTAGTTTATTAAGATCATATTAAAGGAAATAGGTGTTGAGTTATGAACAAATTTCTTTTTCTTGGGATTCTTATTAATGTATGTTTGAATCATCTAAATCATTATTTTTGTATCTTTTCATTCTGTTTAGGTAACTTCAGCTCATTTATGCAGAAGGAGATTTTTGAGCAGCCAGAGTCGGTTGTGAACACAATGAGAGGAAGAGTCAACTTTGATGACTATACAGGTAATTATCCATCAGTTCTGTCAGGATTTCAGAGTCTACTTGCTGGGTTGGGAGTTGTTAGCCTTGAGGTTCATCGTCCTTTACATCCTTCCAGAACTATCTTGGTGGCCAGCCATCAACATAACACAGTCATCTTATAAGATATAAACTTCCTAGTAGTTATCAGGGGCTGGGGTGGAAGATTTTCAGCTGAAAAAAGCCCTGGAGTTGGATGGTGATGTTGGCCGTGCAGGGTGAATACGCTCACTGCCACTTAAAATGGTCACTTTTGTGATCTTTGTTTCACTGCAGTATTTTAGCAGAGAATGATAAGGAATGGGTTGCCAGGAATGGAGTAGGTGGGGATTGGTCCTTCTGGGATATGAGGTTTCGCTTTGGGGTGACGACAGTGTTCTGAGATCAGACAGTGGTGAGTGGTGATTTTGTGTGATATTTTTTTTTACAAAGGGGAATTTTACGAGATGTGACATGCCTCAGTATGATGCTAGCACTCTATTGTTAACGATTGGATTACTAACCATCTTCTCATGGTTATTATTGCCAGTTATGGGACTGTGAGGCTGGCTTGCCATCAGTGGGCCACCTGCTGTGAATTCTGAGAAGTCAGGGCCCTCGTGTGCTTTCATGTGTCTGCTCTGTCTGGGTATTGTCTCTGTCACAAGTAGACAAAGCCTGAAATCCCCCAGAGGCATTTCAGCTCTTTGCTGGATACCTTACGTGATGGCGGCTTCCTTCCTGCATGATTGAAGCTGAGGTGCACATTTGGCCTTATTTCTGGGAAATCTTCCTAGAGCTTCTGTCGCAGGGCTGTGTACTTTTGCGGAGTTGAGTCAAAGAATGACTCGGTGGTCATAAGAAGTCCTTGACCTGTGCTGCTTAAGTCTGATTCTTTGGGACATGATTTGTTATCATGACCATTTTAATAAACAGCAAATAAGTTGTTGAATTAAATCAGAATTAGTGTTTGAGAAATAATCACAAATATGCGAGAGACTTCCCCTGGTTCTGTGTGTCGTAAGCGTAGTGGTTGCTATCTTTTCCCTAATGCCATCTGTTGCTAATTGATAGAAAGTGGTCTTTCTGAGTAGATGCTGCCCTTAGTCATTTTTCTTAGCACATCAGACTTTGAGCAGGAGAGATTTGTAGAAGATTGACTGGGAGGGATTGAGTGTCACCATGCACAGGCTCCATTGGAATGTCTTGTGGGCTTGAAGGAAACTGTCTCAGTCTCCTTCTCAAGCTTCTTCTGATTCAGGATGAGGGTGAATGTACAATCCACTATGGAAATAAAGTAAGACCAGTGCCGGTAGGAACACATCTTCATGTTGACATGCTTAGAGCATGACATTGAATTTAGAGAAAGTAAAGAAGACACATCAGTTTGCAGTCGGCACTATGAGGTCAGAGAAAGCTTCGGAAACTTAGAGGACTTGGAGTGTCTAAGTAGGTGGAGAGGAGTGTTGCAGGTGTGTAAACAGCGTCAGTGCAGAGGGGACAGAGACAGCTCTCAGAGGGCTGTTTGTGGGCTAATACTTGGTGTGGTGTGTCTGCCGTGGCTACTACTCAAAGAGCCAAAAGTCTAGGAAAGAAGGAGAGAGGAGAGCTGGAGAGATACTACAGGAAGTCGGATGCTTAACTTACTTCCCACGTGTCTGACACAGCTGGGACCCTGGTTTGATCCCCAACACTGCCTATAGTCTCCTGAGCCATACCACCAGAGGCCACTCCTGAGCCACGAGCATCCCCTGAGTGTTGCAGGGTATGGTCCATACTCCCCGCAGCGCCCCCCCCCCCCCCCCAGCATTTCCCCCACACCTCACAACCCCAATTAAAAAAAATAATGGTGGGATGAGGTGCTGAATAGGGCCTTGGAGTCTAATGAAGGGTCTGTGAAAGATGCTTCCTCTGGTAAAAATTGCAGAGCTATTGAGAGACTTGGGGGAGACTTAGGAGCTCCTAGTTCTACTCAGATGAACTAGTTGCCGGCTTCTGGTGTGCACTGGGAGAGAGAAGCCTGAATGTAGTTGGCATTGTGAATGTAATTGTCCTCATTGAGGTGAAGCACTGGGGAAGGAAGGACACGGAAGGGTCAGGAGAGAAGCGGGAGTCCTTGGAGCCAACACCCATGTCTGCCTGTATGCGAGGAAGGACCTGTGATGGAAGGGAGAGCTGGAAGGTTTGAGAGAGGAGCCATGATGCTGCTCACGGAGATAGGACAGGAGGAAGCTTCATCTCACAGGGAAGCAAATGAGGCAAACTCTGAAGCTGGTGGTTTAAAAAAAAAAACCCATATTTACAGGGCTGGAGCGATAGCATAGTGAGTAGGGCATTTGCCTTGCATGCGGCCGACCCAGGTTCGATTCCCAGCATCCCATATGGTCCCCTGAGCACCGCCAGGAGTGATTCCTGAGTACAGAGCCAGGAGTAACCCCTGAGCATCGACGGGTGTGACCCCCCCCAAAAATAGCAAAAATAAATAAATAACCCACGTTTGTTTGTGTCACACTCTGTCATGTCAGCAGGACAGCAATTAGATCACACTGCCCTTGAAAGGAGGACATTAGGGATTTGCTGGTTTGAGAGTCTTGCTGGGGGTCACATGCCTCGCATCTCGGTGGCTTCTCTCTCATCCCCTGCGTCTCCCAAGTCTGTCCCGTGCATCCGGCTCTCAGTGGCCGTGACCCCCCTGGATCATACTGGACCCCGCTCAGCTGCCAGGGAATTTGCTAGCACTCATTTTAGAGAAGCAGGCATGACCAGGCTGTCTCCCCTCAGCCCTTCCTCTCATTACTGGCTGTTGGCGGCAGCCCTCGGCTCTCCCTTGATTACAGGAACATCTCTCAGCTTCTCTGCCTTGCTGGTTCCTCTTAATGTTCTTGTCTTTCTTGGCAAAACCTTGGCTGTACATGTCAAAAAAACAAAGAATCCCATGCACAGGCTGTGTCTGGTGTAGGAAGGGCAGGGAGGCCAGTGGGACTGGAGTGGCCACCGGTGAGACGGAGAGTGTGAGGGGTTAGGAGCAGGAAATGGGGCGTGTGGGATCTCAAAGGCTCCCGTAGTTCACATCGTTTTCTGTGATTTTTGGAAGCCACGGAAGCTTTTGTTGTTTTGTCTTTTTTTTTTCATTTTACCAATTTTTTAAGAAAAATAAATACTGTCAGAAGTGAAAGTTACATGAACATGCAGATATTCGAAAAGAGAAAAGACAAAACTCACACCTTGTGACACATTAAAACTTCTGTTAAGGAAGGAGAAAAGGCTGGAAGGAGAAGAGCGGGAGCAGAGTGGACAGGCTGGTAGTGGGCCTGGGCCCCTGGGCTGCCCGAGTGTATGTTCCATGCCCCAGCCAGGCTCCTACCTGGCGCTGGAAGCACGGGGGCCATGCCACCAGTTTACTTGGTGGGTGCTCAAGAAGTACCAGTTGGGTAATTGAATAAACCCTGAATAAAAATTTCTCATATATAGGGACTGGAGCGATAGCACAGTGGGGACAGCGTTTGCCTTGCACATGGCCAGCCCGAGTTTGATTCCATTCCCAGAATCCCATATGGTCCCCTGAGCACCGCCAGGAGTGATTCCTGAGTGCAGAGCCAGGAGTAACCCCTGAGCATCGATGGGTGTGACGCCAAAAGCAAGAAATTAAAAAAATAATAATAAAAAGAAAATTTCTCATAGATAGAAAGTCTTGTGGGGGCTGGGGGAAATTAGACCTCACCTGGCAGTGCCCAGGGCTTACTCCTGGCTCTGCTCAGGGATCACATGATGGTGCTGGGGACTATGTATAGTGCTCGGAACTGAACCCGAGCCTGCATTGGCAAAGCAAGAGCCCTACCCGCTGTAACAGCTCTCCAGCCCAGAAAGTTTACCCTTTTTTAAGAAGGAATCATTGACAAGACTTATGGATTACCATCGAGACAGAAAAAGAACAGGCTCACTGGAGGGCTTTCAGATTAAATGTTATGTGTTAGCTTTTTTCTTCCTTTTTTTTTCTTTTAAACTGAAGAACTGTGATTTACAAAGCAACTGATAGTTACATTTGGGCATATAATATTTCAACAGCAGTCCCTCCACCAGTGTCAACTTCCCTCCTCCAGTGCTCACCTATTCCCTCCCCACCCCAAGCCCCACCCCGCCCCTACCTGTCAACTTGGCACATTACAGAGTTTCAGTGGTTTTAGCTTAGATCTCGTGCTTTCCATGTGGTTGAGTCTGGGCTTTGGATACCTGGCTACACCACTCACCCATATCACCTCTAGGGCTGAAGCCCTGATGCCTGTTCACTCATTACTTCCCCTTCTCTTCTTCCTCCCCCTTCGTTTCTTTCCTTCTTTGTCTTTCTTCTCTAAGCACTGGGGCCAAGAGTGGTCTCAGCAACCCCCCTTTTCCTGTAGTACTTGTCCTCTTCCAGTTTGTTTGTATTAGAAATGTTTCTCCTCCACCTCCTTTCCCCTTGTTGATGTTGGGATAGTACTTGTGCCAGCAGGAGAACTGCACACATACCCGGGCTCGCACGCTCAGTCGCAGTACTGAGTGGCTCCTCGGGTTGGGGTGCTGGTGCATGGGTTGTGGTCATGGTGCTCCTCCGGAGACACTGCTGGTCGCACAGAGTCTCCCCCGAGGTGGTCCTGCCTGGCTCCAGTGCTTGCACACGGTACACTGCGTTCGTCCCTGTGCTTGCTGGGAGCCACCCTGCTTTTACTGCTGTCACCTCGAGGCGCCAGCGATCGCAGACAGCAGAGCTGCCGGTTATCGTACTCGACGTGTGGGATCTGAGCCCGTGAGCGTGTGCTTGCAAGGCTGGTGTGCTCCGCCCCAGCTCTGTTCCTTCAGGCCTAGGTGGATGCTTTGGTAGAGGCCTTCTGACCGGGAGTGCCACACGGGCTGGGAGGCTGGAGGGTAGGCAGGAGACCAGGAGAGAGAGTGGCTTTCAGCCGCCAGGGCCGTGTCAGACTCGGGAGGTGACATTCGCTATAAGTTTTGAAAGTGGGACTCGTGGGACTTGCTTGTGGAGTGCGTGTGGAGGTGGGGAGATGCTGTGTGGTTGTCTGGGTGAGGGCTTGTTGCAAAGGGGAGAGGTGAAAGCGGCGTGGGTTTAGACTGCAGAGCACCGTGTGGGGAGCCGCGTGGGAAATAACAGCGCTAGAATATTTCCCCCTCCAGGCAGGCCTTTTGAGCTCTAACAGGAAGAAAATTCACCATTGTTTATATATTATTCAGTGAATTTTAATAAACTTTCATACTATGGTCATATCTGCACTGCTGTAACAAACTGAACGATTATTTTCATTGTGGGCACAGTTCCTTCACTCTGAAACTCGGCATGTTCCCCTGTGTAGACCCTCCCGGCCCCTTATCTGCCTCTGTTCATCAATGGCTGCTTATCTGTAGTCAGTGTCCCTAGAGTTTTACCTTTGAGACAACTTTGGTATTGTTGTAGTGCTGGTAACTGAACCCAGGACCTTACACAAGCAGGGTGTCTGTTCTGCCACTGAGCCACCTCCGTGGCCCAGTATAACTTAAATGTGTGCTTTATTATTGTTGTTTGTTTTGTTTTAAATGTGTTGTTGTTGTTGTTGTTTTGTTTTTAATGGGGGGTGGTATTTGGGTCACATCAGTTATGTGCTCAGGGCTCACTCCTGGCTCTGTGTTCTGAGATCACTCCTTTTGGGGCTTGGAAGACCATACTTGGTGCCAGGAATTGAACTGGGATCAGCCATGTGCAAAGGAAGTGTCTTACCCCTGTACTATTTCCCTGGTCCTATTGATGTAGTTTTTAATGGTACCACTAGGGCTGAGGGCCAGAACCGTTCCTGGCCAAGTTAAGGGACCATTAGGGGCTACACGGGGCTGCTTTTGGTGCCTGCTTTCAAATTCAGGGCCTCACACATGGAAGTAGTGTGCTTTATCCCTTGAACTATCTTTCCCAAACCCAAGAGAACTTTGTTTTTTTTTTTGTTTTTTTTTTCTTTTTGGGTCACACCCAGTGAGGCACAGGGTTTACTCCTGGCTCTGCACTCAAGAGTTACCCCTGGTGGTGCTCAGGGGACCATATGGGATGCTGGGAATCAAACCTGGCTTGGCCATGTGCAAGGCAAACACCCTACCGGCTGTGCTATCGCTCCAGCCCCCCTCCCCCCCACCCGAGAACTTTTAAAGAGAGGAATGTAAAATGAGCCAAATGTAAAAGCAGCCAAATGAGGCATAGTGGTAAATGCTGTAGCTGTGGATATATGGAGTGGTGAATGAAGTTCCAAGTTTGGGGTCTAGTTGTGCCCTTTCTTCTTTACTCTTAAAAACTGTAAAGAGGGGCTGGAGCAATAGTTCAGCAGGTAGGGCGATTGCCGTACACATGATTGACACGGATTCGATTCCTAGTATCCATATGGTACCCAAGCACTGCCAGGAGTGATTTCTGAGTTCAGAGCCAGGAATACCCTCTGAGCATCACCAGGAGTGACCCAAAAAGAAAAAAAAAGAGAAATGAGAGCTCTTGAGAATGGCAGCATTATTTACCAGATCCATGGTTGATGTTCATGAGACTTGATTGATTAAGCAAAGTTCATGTGGTCTTTTCTAAATGGTTACATGTCCATGTCTTATTTCAGTGAATTTGGGTGGTTTGAAGGATCACATTAAGGAGATCCAGAGGTGCCGGCGTTTGATACTTATTGCTTGTGGAACAAGTTACCATGCTGGTGTAGCGGTAAGTGTCACTTGGTATTTCTTCTGCCGTGCTGGGGAATGAACCCAGAGTCTCACACATGTGAGGCAGGTGCTCCAGTGGCCCAGTGAGTGTTTTAAATTTTTCACTGTGTCATATGGGTATCAGAAGGTAGATGTAGATAAACAGTATCTCCAGGAACATGGCACATAAAACTGTCTATCCTTTAGTAAAACAATGTGTGATCTTCCCATATTATGGTCACAAGAATCAAGGTTAGTAGGAAAAATTTTAATAACTGCCTAGAATTCTTTACTAATGGAAGAGCTGCTTTAGGAAAGACTTTAGCACACAGATTTTGGATAAACCTCCTAGAATTGACGTTATGAAAGCTAAGAATGGGCTAAGCATTTGCCCCAGCCTAGCCTTGCTTTGTGGAGTGTATTCCTGCTTTTATAAGAACATTTTTGGGGTTCTTTTTTATCATTGTTCAGTTGCTGCAGGCAGAGGGGTACTGTGTGAGTCTTAACAGGATTTCATGTGGTAGGTATATGTATTTCTTCCTCAGACTTTGTTCTTTAAATTGTTTTTTGGGACGCTGAAGTTCGGTAACAGGGACTTTTGTTGGTTATCAATGCAGAGGCACAGGAACAGGTGGGAAAGTCCCATACATCACGTTTGCTTATAGTTTCTTTATAGAGAGACATTGTGTGTGCTGTCGATGTCAACTCAAAGTGTACATTGAACATTTTCTTTTAGGATTTATTTCCAAAGCTTGGGCTGGAGCGATAGCACAGCGGTAGGGTGTTTGCCTTGCATGCAGCCAGCCCGGCCAAGCCGGGTTCGATTCCTCTGCCCCTCTCAGAGAGCCCAGCAAGCTACCAAGAGTATCTTGCCCGCACGGCAAAGCCTGGCAAGCTACCCGTGACGTATTCAATATGCCAAACACAGTAACAACAAGTCTCACAATGGAGACGTTACTGGGTCCGCTTGAGCAAATCGATGAACAATGGGAGGACAGTGACAGTGCTACAGTACTTCCAAAGTTTATGGTTTAGAACATTTTATTGTTGTTGTTTTGTGGGGGGGTGACACCCAGCAGTGCTTGGGGATTACTCCCCACTCTGTGCTCAGGGGTCATTCCTAGCTGGGCTCAGGAGGACCATATGGATCAAACCCTGGTTGGCTGCATGCAAGGCAAGTCCCTACTACTAGTATCTCTCCAGTCCCTTTGATGCCAGGTTTTTGGGTTTTTGTTTTTGTTTTTTGGGTTTTTTTTTTGTTTTGTTTTGTTTTTTTGAACCTAGGGCTTTATACAAGTGTTTAACTACTCGTCTCGATCCCTGGACATGACAGTCATTTTTCATGAATTATTTATGATCTCTGCCTGTGAGAGCCAGTCATTTAGCTAGTGAGTGAGGTAGGCTCATCACCCAGCTCTGGCAGCTCTACAGGCTTTTGTTCTTTTCTAAAGCCTGCCTTTCCTGGGACCAGAGGCCCTGCTGGGAGAGATGGTGGCACTTGCGCTGCACACAGCAGACCCCAGTCACTTCCATGAGTGACTCTTGGGCATGGAGCAGGGAGCAGCTCCTGAGGACCAGGAATGTGCAACCCCACCTCTGCAGGGGGGAAAAGTGTGTCTTTCCCCGTCTTGTCCCTGAAAAATTGCATGGTTCTAAAAAAAGAGAATATCTGCAGTATTGAAGAGTTAATAAAGGTGGGTGTTTCGAGCACAGAAGAGAAGAGTATTCAAGACCTGCTTTCCTGAGTAGGCAGTATGCCTGCGCTCGGGGAAGGGAGGTGAGAGGGGGATTGTAACCCCCGCCTTGGGTAGAATTGGGGGTGCTTCCTGCTTGTTTATTTGAAGGAAGTAGATTGCCAGGGAAGTGCTGGGTAATTTTATTTATTTTTTTTCCTGAAAAGGGGCCAGTAGTACAGATAAATTAAGGAATCTCTGGAAATGGCTAATTGAAAGGCAGCTTAGATCTATTACTGAATGAATCCTCTGTTCAGAAGTTTATGCTGCTTAAGTATTTCATTCACTGCAAAACCTAAGTTTTGGGGCAGAAATTACGTATTGCGTTAGAATTTTCTGATTTTTCCTTCTCAGCAGCCTAATTTTTTAATTTTGTGATGTTCTGAGTAAAAGTGCTCTTTGAACAGCAATGCATGCGTTTATTTTATTTTATTTTATTTTGGCATTTGGCTTTTGGGCCATACCTGTCAGTGCTCAGTACTTACTTTTGACTTTGAGCTCAGGAGTCTCTTGTGGTGGTGTTCAGGGAACCATATGTGATGCTGGGGGGGTCTGCCATATGTAAGGGGAGTGCCTTAACCTCTGTCCTATCTCTCTGGGCCCAAAATGAGCTTTTTCTTAAGCAAAATTTCAAAAGGGTACTGACTTTTTATTGGAAAATGGTACTGTTTATGAACATATTATACTTTTGAAGTGTTTAAGTTCCACTGGGTATTTGTGCACTATTCTTTATTTGAACAGTCTCAGGGACTTAAGTAGTATATGAATTGCCATTTGAAGATAAGGAATTGAGAAATTAGAAAATAACATACAAGCTAACTCAGAACAGTGCCTTTTCCACTCATCAAAATACATGTGTGAGTGTATTTCTTATGAAACCTTATGCATTGACCACTATCAACATTTGTACAAAACAATAACAGTGCTTCTCTCAAGTGTGATTTTCATTATTTGATCTATGAGGTCTTTATTTATTTATTTTTAAATTTAATTTTTATTAGTGAAACACCATGGGGTACAGTTGTAGACTTACAAAATTTCGTGCTTGGGTTTCAGTTATACAATGATCTTGTACCCATCTCCATTGTACCCAGTGCCCATTCTCCACTAATGATCCCAATAACCCTCCCATTCCCCCCCTCCTCCCCCCGCCCCGCCTCAGTGGCAGGGCATTCCCTTTTGCTCTCTATTTCCTTTAGGGATTTGTGGTTTACAATAGAGGTATTGAGTGGCCATCGTGTTCAGTCTATAGTCTACTTTCAGCACGCATCTCCCATCCCAAGCGTGCTGTTCCCTTTACTTGGTGTTCCTTTGTCTGTCTAAGCTGATCTATGAGGTCTTTAAACAGTGTGCACTGCATCAATTTTTATAGCTGGAAAAATGGAAAGCTATGTGTTCATTCTGCAACAGTCCGTGAAAGAAAGTCTTGGGAGCAGAACTGAGTGCCCAAGTGTCTTTTCTTTGCAGACCCGCCAGGTTCTGGAGGAGCTGACTGAGTTGCCCGTCATGGTGGAGCTGGCCAGTGACTTCCTGGATAGAAACACCCCAGTCTTCCGGGACGACGTGTGTTTTTTCATTAGTCAGTCAGGTACGCTGAGTTTGGCATCTTTATTTTTTACTTTTGAGGCCACACCCAGAAGTGCTCAGGGATCACTCCTGGCGGGGCTCAGGGGACCATGTGGGATGCTGGGAACTGAACCTGGGTGGGCTGCGTGCAGGGCAAGTCCCTTAACTGCTGTACTAGCCCTTTGGCCCCAGCTCTGCTAATTTTAAAGACTTAGGGAAAAGAAAATTTTTCTTCCTCCTAAGCCTAGCCTATCTTGACCAAAAATGATGTCTAAACTTGAAGCCATTGTGGCAGACAGCTTAACAACATTTTAATATTGCATAATTATGAATGAGCAAAAATGACATTTGACCTGAATATTCAGAGGAGGAAAGGAGATCCCACAAAGTTGGATCCTATCATTAAAAATTTTACAAATTAATTTGAAGTTCATGTCTTAAATTTGTTTAGAACAAATACTATTCAAATGGGCTGGAGCGATAGCACAGCAGTAGGGCATTTGCCTTGCATGCAGTTGGCCGGCCGAGCCGGGTTCAAATCCTCTGACCCTCTCGGAGAGGCTGGCAAGCTACTGAGAGTATTTCACCCGCACGGCAAAGCCTGGCAAGCTACCCGTGACATATTCAATATACCAACACAGTAACAACAAGTCTCATGATGGAGATGTTACTAGGCCCGCTCGAGCGAAATCGATGAAAAATGGGAGGACCATGACCATGACCATGACTATTCAAATATCACTTTTTTGTTCGTTTTTGCATTTGCATCCAAAAAATCAGGACTGTTGTTTTCATTGCTGGCTGCATTTATCTTTTCCACACAGGTGAGACGGCAGATACCCTGATGGGTCTCCGGTACTGTAAGGAAAGAGGAGCCTTAACGGTCGGGATTACGAACACGGTGGGCAGTTCCATATCACGGGAGACAGACTGTGGTGTTCACATTAATGCCGGCCCTGAGATTGGTGTGGCCAGCACAAAGGTAAATCCCTGCTCTCTGCGTGAGTGAGTGATGGTGTAGGGGAGAGGCTGATCCATCTCTTAGTGTTCTCTCCTTAGCACCTAGAGAAGTTGCAGAGTACATTAAGCATTATCACTCTAAGACTAAGGGATCAATAATAGATCAAACACTGGTCATCTCTTCCTGTCCTCATCTTAAAAGGTTAAAAGGAACATGAGGATATGCATATGCTTACATTTGCAAGGGCCTCTGTTGACTGTCCACGTCATTCATACTCCTGCCAGACTGAGTTGATGCATGGTTGATACAGCTGGTCTCTCTTAGCAAGTGTATTAGGGTGTTAGGAAAGTGTAACAAATTAGAAACATCCAGTTTAATTCTAATTTTTTAATTTTACATATTCATGGTTTCTAAAAAAGGTCAATGTATACATAATTTTTTGAAAGTTTATAAAGAGTTGTTCATCTCTGGTAAAAAATTTGGCACTTAAAAACTAACAAGTGAATTCTATATGACAATATGTGTTTCTCCTTAGGTACTACATCTGTTGCAATTTACCCCCCCCACCCGCCCATTGAGGTGGGGGTGGGGGCATACCGAGGAGTGGCACTCAGGGTCTACTCCTTGCTCTGCACTCAAGGGATACTCCTGACTTGCTCTGGCGACCAGTATGGGGTGCTGGGTATCGAACCTGGGTCAGCTGCATGCAGGACAAACACCCTACTCACTTTACTCTTCTCTCCAGCGCGTACCTTTGTTTTTAAAGAACTGCTCAGGTGGACAGAGTGATTGTCAGCTCTGCAAGGAAGCACTTGCCTTGCATACAGCCAATCTGGGTTTAGTCCCTGGCACTGGAGCAAAGAGCCCAGAGTAAACTCTGAGCACAGCCAGATGTGGCCCCAACAAACAACAAAGCAATGAAATTTTTTAAATGCTAACGTTGGGATAGACTATCCTAAAGTATTTTCCTAAATATTGGGTCAGTTCAGTTACTGATGTTTTAAAAGATGATAGCATATACTTTGAAAACCAAAGGGAATTAGTCATGTTCGTTTTTAAATTAATACCTGTCTTTGAAATTGAGATATGCATACATAACTTTTAGCAACAAAATAGGAATCTTAGAAAATAGTATAAATGTAAAAAATGTTCTCATTCCACATATGTATTTACTCTGTACTGATTCTTTTTCTGCCTACATCAGATATTTTTTGTTGATTGTCTAGTGTGGAGGGTGGGTGGATTTGAGGTTAAAGGCAAGTGAAATGGGATGTAAATATATTTTTTATGTTTCAGTGTTTTTTTCTTTTAAATAACCTTGTAGGGAGAATTTTTTTTGTTATGTTAAAAACTCAGAGTGAGGTTTTTTTATTTTGATGTTGATGGCACTCTAATTTATAGAAAGCCTTAACCCGAACTTTCTCCATGTGGTAATTAAGCATTGTAAAGCGCTGTGCACGAATCTTCACTCTGGGTCTGAGACAGTAACCACTTGCTCCCAGCAATAGCTTGTACGTTTTTTGGAAGAGTGTCCAGACAAGCTTGAGTCATGGTCTGGAATCCCAGAGCCCTTGTTTCTACCACTGAAAAACAAGGGATTCAGTGTGGTCTGAGGCTGTGCATCACTCCACCAACTGGGTCCTGCCCTCTTAGCCTTTCTGTTGACTTTTGAACTGTGAGTTGGCAGGGAGAGTGACAGTTAAAATTCTTATTTGTAGCTGTACCTTTCCCTTCCTTTCTCAATAGCAATAGGGATTTCATAAGCAGGTTTTTTTTTCTTGATTATCTAGAAATAAAGGTTAAGTCATTTGGTCAAGACTCCATTAAAGGGAGTAGTGATAGATTTTCGTAAGTTCAGTTACTGATGTTTCAAAAGGTGAATAGCATGTACTTAGAAAACCAAAGGGAGTTAGTTATGTTCAGTTTTTAAATGAAAAAATCCCACGGAGTGCATCTGCTTCCCGAGCCCGTGTGCTGCTTGTGCCAACATGGCCAAGCACATGTGTTGCCCGCATCTCCCCTCTTGAGACATGTACTTTCACGCTTTCCTATCTAATGATGGAGTGAGTGGAGAGGCTCTCTCTCCTCCTCTGGGGAAGCCCAAGTTTTCTCTTAAGCGCAGTACTCTCTCAGTTTCTCTTCTTCCTTCCCCTTCCAAAACCCCTAAGTGAAATCTGTTTTTGCTTCCAAATAAATAAATAACCACCCAGGTTCTTGAGGCCGGAGAGATAATACAGCAGGTAGGGCGTTTGCCTTGTATGTGGCCAACCCAGGCATGCAGGTATCCCATACGGTCCCTCAGGCACTACCAGGAATATTTCCTGAATGCAGAGCCAGGCGTAAGCCCTGAGCACTGCCAGGGATGGCCCCCAAACTAAACCCCCTCCCCATGTGCCTCTACCCTGCCAAACCCCTTCAGGTTCTTAAAGGGCATTTACCAAAAACTAATTTCCCTGCTTTTGTGTGTTGTCTTAGGCTTATACCAGCCAATTTGTATCCCTGGTGATGTTCGCCCTTATGATGTGCGATGACAGGATCTCCATGCAAGAGAGACGCAAAGAGATCATGCTGGGCCTGAAGCGGCTCCCTGGTAGGCAGATACTCACGTGTTACGCTTCCGTTGTCCAGGGGAGTGGGTCCCGGGTCAGTTCCTCTTGGCCTTGAAGTGCTCTGATATTCACTCTTGAAGTGTTGAGTAAGACTCAGTCTATCATTACTGCATCTGTTCAGTGTATTGCTCTTTTTTCATAGATTTTTGCTAGTTTCATTACTTTTTAACCTTAAAAAAATTCTTTAGGGGCCAGGGAAATGGCTTAAAGGGCTGGATGGTGCACACGCTTTGCATGTGGGAGCCCCGGGTTCAACCTCTGGCACTGCTTAGTAACCCCTGAGTACCTGAGCTTGGAGTAACCCCTCAAGCACCCCCTTGTGTGGCTTAACCCTGCTCCACCCAGGACAATGTTCTTTTTTCAGGGACCGGGAGCTCATTTAAGTACTGGTGTTTGAGAAGCCCTGAATTTGATCCCTGATATCACTTGTCCCCTTGAGCACCAACAGTGTAATCCTGACAGCCTCAAACACTGAACTGTTAGTTTCACACTGGCAGGCTGAGCATCTTGGGAATAGTGCGGGGTGCCCCAGCGCTGCTTGGGGCTATTTCTATAAAAATGAGAATAAAACAACAACAAAAAAAGTATTTTCATTGAGGTAACATTGGTGACATAACACAAAAGTTTCATGTGTACAGCAGTATAATTCTACATCTGCCTATACTCATATACTCATATGCCCCCCTCTCCCCCCCACACACACCCTCCTGTCCTACCAGATTGTTGACTGGTGTTGACAATCAGGACCCACCGTGATTTTCATCTGTGACCACTTAAATACCCTAAATACTCATATGGGGCCATTCGGTCCCTGGTTGCAGCAGGCTGGTCTACACTCTGCCAATATCACCAGAGACAGTCTAGTTTCTGTCAATCACCATTCATCATTCAGGGACCTTCTTTGCCTGTTTCACTTGCTCACGAACATGGTTTCTTCACAGATTTGATTAAGGAAGTACTGAGCATGGATGATGAAATCCAGAAACTGGCATCAGAGCTCTTTCGTCAGAAGTCGATCCTGATAATGGGGCGGGGCTACCATTACGCCACCTGTCTTGAAGGGGCACTGGTAAGTTTTCTCACTTGTCATTTCAGTCTCTCGGCCTTGCATATGCCCCACTTTTAAGATTGAGTGAATTAAGAAGGTGGGACTTTGAAAAGAGCCTTTATAGTTTATGCATTCTGATGTGTATTTGCTTTGAGAGAGTGTGACAGTATTCTACTTAAAAGTGAAAATCAGAAGTATATTTTTAATAACTTGGGTTTATCAAGTAATGGTTTAATTTGTTATCTTGATATTTGTTATCTTGATATCATTATGAATAAAACCAAGTTCTCTAGGTGTGAAATTTAATTGAGGTCCAACTGAAACAAGTTGGAAAAGAGTTGTAAAGAAATAACCTTCAAAAAAGTTCTTGAGCGGCTTTAGAACTTCTAGTTAACTTGCTGATATCATAGATCATAATCTGTTAGCTTGCTGGCAACATGTTACCGATTAGTGACTGTTCTTTTAATGCTTTTGGAAAAGCAGCAACTTCAGACATCAGATATCTTGTGTTTACATAAAAATGGGCTTTTTTAAAGGGGACCAAATTCTGATCTTTTTCCGTTAGAAAATCAAAGAAATCACTTACATGCATTCTGAAGGCATCCTTGCTGGGGAGTTAAAGCACGGTCCCCTGGCTTTGGTGGACAAGTTGATGCCCGTCATCATGATCATCATGAGAGATCACACTTACGCCAAGTGTCAGAACGCCTTCCAGCAAGTCATTGCTCGGCAGGTAAGTTGGGGACTGTGGCGAGCACACACTCTTTAAGTGACTCATGACACTCATCATGCCTAGTAGGGTCCTGTTCCAAGACTTACAGTTTGTTGGTATTTAGATGGGAGCAATCTGTGATGTTCATGCTTTGACAGGACCCAGCTTAAAGAATCTTATAGCAGGTCTGAACCAAATTTGAACTGAAGCTTTATTCTGCTAATTCTCTCCTCTTCAATTAGTATATCCTGCTCCCTTTTTTTTGTTTTTTTTTTTTTTTTTGCTTTTTGGGTCACACCCGGCGATGCTCAGGGTTTACTCCTGGCTCATGCACTCAGGAACTGCTCCTGGCAATGCTCAGGGGACCATATGGGGTGCTGGGAATTGAACCTGTGTCGGCCATGTTGGCTGCGTGCAAGGCAAACGCCCTACCCCCTGCTCCCTTTTAATCAGGAAACCTTGGGGAGGGAACCATACCCACTGGTGCTGGGAGGGGTTGCCAGGCTCAACACTCAGAAGTCGCTCCCAGTAGTGCTCAGCGGACCATGTGATGTGAGAGAGGTGGCCTAGGACACCAGCTTTTGAAGCACATACTCCAGTCCGTAGGGTTATATTTGGGTTGTGGGGCCACACCCGGCAGTGCTCAGGAGCTGCTCCCGGCTCTGAGTTAGAGGGTCTCTTGTCTGGTAGTATTTGAAGGACCATATGGGGTGCTGGGGATTAAACCAGAGTCGATTTAACGCACTATAAGTGCCTAACCCCTCCCTATACTATCTTTTTGCACTCCCCCCCACCAGTTTCATAGTTTTAAATTTATATTTCAGTTGAAAGCTAATGGTTGGGTCTTAATTTACGACGGGAGCTTTGCTTAGCTTTGCTTAGCTTCGTTTCCTTTAAATAATTTGACTTCATTATAGAAGTTCAAAAAAGATTATAGGCATAATGCTATGTGTATGAACTTGGGTTCAAGTTCAAGAAAGGCAGACTTAGACCCAAATGCTGTGTCTGTTTTTTCTTTGTGTGAGTTTCAGCAAGTCACTGGGGTCCCACAGAACTTTTGTTCCTTTACCTGTGATGTGCATCAGAAGTCAATCACATGGGCTCAGCTTTGAGTGAGTGTTGGCAGTGAGACCACATTGAGAGAATGCACACGTAATAATTTGTTAATAATGGGCCGTAGTCCTGCCATTTGCTTACCTGGGCGTTGTGTGTGTGTGTGTGTGTGTGTGTGTGTGTGTGTGTGTGTTCGTCCTTTTCTTTCCCAGGGACGCCCCATTGTGATTTGTGACAAGGAAGACACTGAGACCATCATGAACACGATAAGAACAATCAAGGTGCCCCACTCCGTGGACTGCTTGCAGGGCATCCTCAGTGTGATCCCCTTACAGCTGCTGGCTTTCCATCTGGCTGTGCTGAGAGGCTATGATGTAAGTGAGGGAAAGGGCAGAACCTTAAGTTTGCTCCCTCCCCCCCATGTATTCTGCCAGTTTTCCTGCCAGTTTTCCTTCTAATTTTTGTCTCTGTTTTGTTTATGTTTGTGGGCCACACCCAGTAGTGCTTGGGGCTTCCTCCTGACTCTGTGCTCAGGAATCACTCCTGGCAGGGTTCAGGGGACCAATATGGGGTGCCAGGGATTGAACTGAGTTCTGCCGCATGCAAGGCAAGCACCTTATCCTTTGTGGTATCACTTTGTGGTCCCGCCTTCTAGATTTTTAGCAACTGCTTTTGAGAAATCTATCAGAAATGTGGTACGTTTGTGTGGTCCAATGTGTAGGAATATGTAGAGATCATATCACAGCATTTTCTTGCCCCTCATGGAACTTGAAGGAATCTTGGAGGTTACCTTTAGGATCCTGACTCCCCTTGGAGAATCCCTGCCTGTTTCCTCTGTGTGATTCTGTGTTTCTTAAAGGGCATCTGTTAGCAGTTCTGTGTTGTTTGGGGCTGTTGCATACAGCGCATCACTTTTAGCATTTCTGTCGGTCCAGAGACCATCCTGTGCTTAGACATTTTCTGTGTCCCTTGAGAGGGCCTGTCACCCCCTGCAGAGCCTCACAGGAGCGCTTTGTGTGCAGAACTGGCTCCTATAGGATTCTTTCTTTTGTCTCACTGTTAGTGTCTCAAGATATGTGACTCTATTTGCTAGTCTAATTCTTTGTGGGATTTAATAGATGGTTAAATGAGCATAGTGTTTCCTGGTGGTGTTTTTGATGTTTGTTTGTTTGTTTTGGAGGCCACACCTTGCAATGCCCAGGGCTTACTCCTGTCTCTGCACTCAGGAATCACTCCTGGCAGTATTCAGGGAACCGTCTGGGATGCCGGGGTTTGAATCTGGGTTGGCCATGTGTGAGGCCAGTGCCTTATCTGCTGTACTCCAGCACCCTCCTTTTAAGATTTTCTTTTTTTATAAACAGAAATAATTTGCTAGTAACAACTCTTCTGTCTTTCCTAAATCTGTATGCTCTCTGAGATCTCCTTTCTTTTTCTTGCAGGTTGATTTCCCCCGGAATCTTGCCAAATCTGTGACTGTAGAATAAGGAGCGTCTGAAAACTGAGCGATTAAGCAACACAAGACACCTTTTATATTTAAAACCTTGATTTAAAATGTCACCCTTTTAAGCCTTTTTTTTAGCAAATACTTATTTATATATCAGTTATAATTATTCCACTCAATTTGTGATTTTTTTGTGTGTGAAATTACCTCATATTTTTCCTTAATTTGTGGGGGAGTTTGAATAATGAAATATATGTTGGAATCAGCATCAAAGATTTAGCTCTCATTTTCTTTAAAGAATGCTGGGTGTTGAATGTCTGGGGTCCCCACTTCAAACTGAAAGGATTTTATGTGCTGAAAATAATTGGCACTTGCTTTACCATGCTTATATTCAGACCAATGAGAGAGGAGTGTGTTTAATTGGAATGCCCCAAATAGGCGTAGTGCTTTATGTCCATCCAGTATACACTGACATTTAATTAAGACCTTGCTAAGTTATATATAAAAAGAACATGTTGTGATTTATTTTGAAGTTTGTCTTTTGTTTTTCAGTCAAGCTCCAACTTGAAAACTCCAAATGTTTTTTGATGGGAATTGTATCTAAGATTGGTGAGCTTTTGTGTCTCAAACTTACAGCCTGTTATCTCCATGTAGGTCAAAATAACATAGGAATCTAAGTAGTATAGCTGGACATTAGTTTTCTCCAATCCATACCAGGATGTGTTTGCACAATCTCATAGCACAAACTTCTGATGTGGGCTGCTGTGGACAGCTCACCATACGATTTTTAAATTTGAAAATGGGAAATGGGAAGCACACAGGTAGGGTATCCCATTTCCATCTCCTGAAAATGGTTTCTCTTTACTTGTGTATGTAGATTTAAGACAAACAGCCCCCCACCCCGCCCCAAACAACCATTGAATGACAAATTTTATCTTGTCTCTATAATCAGTACACAATTACTCTCAAATGTCTCAAATGAATATTGACATATTTAGAATTCTTTTAAGCCTTTCCCAAGGCAGAATTTTTTGCAGTAATCTGAACTTCATCGTATTGTATGAAATTAGTCCCTTCATGCCAGTTCTTAGGCTCTTTGCAAGTTTTTGAAGATTTGCGAGCTTTTTGGCTATCTGACTCATATATGGCGGTTGAGGCTTAGAAAAAGCTATATGCTTGACTGTATTTGTGAAGGAGTGCATCAAGTTTCGTGTTGCTTTCTAGCTATTTTTCTCTGTATTTTTTGTGTTCTAATCCCGAAACATATTTAGGAACGAAGACAATACAAATAAATAATACTACCATGTCTTCAGTTGGTTATCAGAAATAAAAATTTGAAGTTTAGATTAAAATATTTAGAATACTTACCTGACACCTAAAAAGATTTGAGTAATAGATGTTTTCATGATGTTTTTTTGCTCAATATTGGACATTTAGGATAGCTTTTCATGTTTTCAGCAAGTCCTCTTTTAAATGTTTTCCCTTTTTTTTGATTTGTGAAAGTATATTTAGTATAATTAAGATCAGCCTTTTCGATCTTAATAAAAGCCTTTTTTCTCTTTTTCAAATTTGAACTTCCTAGTGAAATGAATGTTTCCTAATACCTGTTGTTACTAGTGAAGCATCTGATTTTGTTTGTGTATGAAGGTTTGAGAAAGAATAGGCATATTTTGAGGCAATTTGGAAGGAGACTGGAAGCTTGATCATTAAGAAAATAATAATACAGGGGTATTTTGCATCCTACATATAGCTACTGTAGTTCTATTTATCTATTTTGTTTCTAAGATTATTTTGTGTAGTCCTAGTAGTAGTATGTGTGATAATTTCTTACATTTGTTACTTTATCATTTTATGCACATGATTTTTTTTTATGTATTTGTACTATCCGTTAATGTTTAAAGTTTGAATCAGTGTTCTGAGTGGAAACTAATGTGAAATCAATCATTAGTTTTCAGAATGTCTTTTTTTCTGTGCATTTGTCTGTCTCAAGCAAGGATAAGTTCTAAACCAAATATCCAGACAATATCAAGAACAAAGAAGTGATATTTTTCAAACACAATTTCACCTCCTTTTTCCTCCCCCCCACTTCCTTTTCCATTTAATGTGATTTTTTTTATACTTTTAAAAGTGACAATGAAAAAAACTGAGTAGAGGTAAACCACAAATAAATGTGCATGATCAGTTAAAGCCAATGTAATATAATTTTTTCAAGAAAAATACTCTACACAGGAACTTTATATAAAAACTTCTTTCCTATAGTAAAATTGAAGTTTGAATCTGCTTATATAAAATTTCTTAATGCAGATTATTGAGCTCTTTTTAGATCCTGGTGGACACATGTAACATTCAGTGCAGGGTTCAGTGTGATTGTCACTTTGGATGAAACCAATCAGCATCTCTCTTCTTAAAGTTCCCTGGACTCTAGACTCTAGAAATAATAAGAAGAAATGAATGTTAACAATTTTGAGTTTAACTATGTAAGCCACCATTTATAGACACATTGCTGTGCTGGACAGTGCATCCAATTTTAAGCCAATCCAATGCCGTTGTCCCCAGGGGAAGTCCATAGTAAAGAGCAGGCTGATTTGGCGCCAGGAGAGAGAGTGTACGTTGGGTTTTAGGGAACTGCATTTATTCACTACCATGAGAAGTTTCAAGTTTTGGGTCACATTCATGTTTGTAAGAGGTGAAATACAGTTTATAAATTAAGCTATTGCCATCAGTCATACTGATGCATACACATACCTGTGGTCCTCTAAGGAGCGGCAGTTATTAATTGCAACAGTTAAGACCAGCCAGGCATCTGCACTGTTGCTACTCAGAGGGAACAGACACAGGCTGAGGTGGGGCTGGGCTGCTGGTGAGGGGACCCAGGGTAGGTATCCTCCCCTAGCTTTCACGATTGTTCTGACAGGATATTGTCTTATCCTTTTGAACATGGTCTCTTGGTCCAAGTTCATTATGGGCATGGTGGAAAGGATCTTTTTTGTTTCAAACGTTTTCTTTTAGCTCCTAGCCACCAGTGCTTTGACACTTGTTTCTCTTATTCTTCAAAGCAGTGAAAACAGCTGCTTTAAGAAACATTTTAAGAATGTTTAGGGCTACTCTTTTATCTTTTAAAAATTAGAATATACTATAGCAATAAAAAAAATTCTGAAGTAAACTGTTGTTTGCTACAACTTAAGTGGTTTTTCTAAAAAAAAGCACAATGTCATTTAAAAGTGTTTATTGAAAAAAATTCACATCTCATATTGAATTTGTGAAGGCCAAAGACATGGAAGGGAACAGTAAATAAAGGTATTTTCTAGCCACATAGCTAGTAGATTTTGTGTACCAGAACACCAGAGAACGTGTTTTACCCAGATTTCAGATCACTTTACTTTTTTACTGTTAGTCTGAAGTTTAACAAAACAATTTTACCCATAATATTTTAAGATTGTTGTAAATGAATATTTCCCTACCCTGATTAATTTAACTGCATATCCTCATATCTGCAACATGATGTAGCTGATAATATTAGCTTCAAACCAATCCCATCCAGAGTTAAAATCATAGTAATTAGCAAGACTATAAATTTATGCTATAGTAGCTTGTAAGTCTGTAATAGTTTGATATAAATATAATGGAATATACTATAAATGATGGTTAAAGCAAGCATTTTAGGAAATTCTCAAATTACCTTTCCTAAAGTACTAATTTTCAAATGAATTTAGAAGTCATCCAATTATCTTTTTAAATTTTCTGCACTTGAGTTTTTTTTTTAAATAAAACTTTTGATATTTAAGTTATGCTTTTCATGAACTGGACGTTTTAGAATCATCCTTGCTTTGTTTTAGTTTTGTTTATTCTTTAAAGTGAATGTTTAGTTTGCTGAGCCAGTTAGTCATTTCTTCCTTTTGTCTTGTTAGTCCAATGACTCTAATCCTGAACTGTGAATAAATTACCAAAAACTTGCTAAGAATTGCATTTTGAAGCAATTTGTCAATATTTGAAGTGTACACATACTTGTAGTTGTGATTGTGTTGTACCAAGAATGTAGGTGATGTTTACTGTAGTTGTTGGTAAGCTTTTTTGATGCTGAAAGTTTATTCACTACTATGACTTTTAAAAACAAGAAATGATTTCATAAATATCAGCAGAAGCCACAGGTCTCCACTCCAACTTCCCGATTCTTTTGAAAGGATGTGGGTCACGACATAGGCTTTACTTTTTATGTATGACATCATGCTCCATAGATATTAAACTGCCTCAAGTCTCTGAAATTTTTGTAATAGTGTGTTATTTTCTAGCAGTTTTCCAGGGCGTACAGTGGTAAATGATTTTGTTGAATTTTGAATTGATAGTTGCAAAAGAAGGTTCTTAAAGGTGGGTAACAAAACAGCTTGTATACTCCAAATCTGCAATTTCTGTAGTATCCGGCAGCCTGTTCATTATAAAACAAAGATTCCTTTTATAGGCTCCTTTCATAAACAGCAGGCTAGTGTGTCTGTCCATAGTGCTTACAGCACTCGCTCTGCTTTGCAGGATGTAGTTATACCAGGGGAGTTGCAATGAATCAGTGTGCTGTTTTGCTTACCAGCTGAATTGAGTGAACTGAGTTCTCTCTCTCTCTCTCTCTCTCTCTCTCTCTCTCTCTCTGTCTCTCTCCCCCCCCCCCCTCCTCCCTGTCTCCCTCCAGCAAAAGCCTGACACCAGGGTTTGTTTTTTTCCCACTGCCACACTTTTGACACGCAATTCAGCTCTACTCCTAGTGAATTGCTTTCTTTCAGTTTTCTATTTTCTGAGTCCAAATTAAAGGCTAAAAAAAAACTTTCCTAAAAATTTAAGAGATCACTATATTGAAGTGGCATTAAAGAATTTTTTTTCTTTGACATGAAGGAAGAAGTAAGGGTAAATTTTTCTTAGTGATCGCAAGGCAAATAGTTCTCCCTCATTAAAATGATGAGAGCCGGGAAGATGTTTAGGGGTAGGTAGGGCCAAAGTTGAGCTTTTGAAAGGCTCCCGGTCGAATCCCTAGTGGCCACTGCAGTTCTCTTCCCCAGGAACACTGGGGCTAAACAGTATGGGAACTTAATTTTTTAAAATTCATTTCACTGCTCAGAAACATTCGGATTGATTGTTGATTCCCTTGCTAAGTGCTCTGAAATTTGGCCAGCTTACCCCCACCTTCAGGAAGCAGTAAGACAAAATCATTATTCTGTTGTGGGGAACAAGTTTACAAGACATTATTTCCAAAGTAGAAGAAGCACGTTTGTGAACTATTTTTTATTGTCTCAAATCCCAAGGTTCACTTAGTATTTTCTCATAGAGTGATGTTAGCAGCCATATTTTCCTTTTCATATTTCAAGAGATTTTAGCAGTTGGGGGATGGTTGTATAATTTTAAAATGTGGCATAAAAATGGACCATGTAAGTAGGAGATGGATAGAATCATTGGCATTTGCTCCCCATTCACTTACCACTCTGCTTCTCTTTATATGAAATTAAGGACTTTTAAATTTCAGTTTTACATAAAGAGGACACTGTTTGGTTGAAACAAAGTTGGCGTGCTTGCTTTCATTTGCTTCTTTCTCATCTAACCAGTGTGATTTATGGGGGCTCCTTTGGGTTTCCTTCCTGTTTACTTTATATTTAGAATTGATTTGAAATATCACAAGCATTCGTCCTGACTTTCACCTCTTGCTTCCTTAATTTTGTGCTTATCCTTTGAATGAAATGTAAGCTAACATTGATCTGTATTAATTTGCCTTTACTGCTGCTTCTCCAGAAGCCTAGAAACTGGGGGAAATCTTGGTGTCTTTTCTATCTTACATTCTTGTTTGTTGGAATCATGTTCTTAAGGTTAGTGGGTTTTTTTTTTTTTTACAGAAAAGTAAAGTAACGTCTCCATTGGAGACTTTGTTGTTAATTTTTTTCATATAACTAGTCTTTTATTTTTTTAATCTTTTGGCATGGGAAAGTCTGTTGGCCTCTGAATGCAGAAATTACTGATAGCATTGCTAACACAAATGCTCTGAGTGGCTAGTCTGAGTGCACAGATATTTTGAGATTTGTTTGCTAGTTCCTTCTGATTCCTCCCATGACATCACACAAGAATGATGGTAACGGATTGGAGTTCACCAGGACAAGAACTTCTGACTTGCAGACACATTGGTCTTTTCAACTTGACCTTCCCAAAGTGTGATAATCCAAAATCAGTAGTTCTCCGCTTCTTTGTACTTAATATGGTGAAGCTGAGTAAGGGCACCTCCGAGAGAACTGACAATCAAAGATTTTTATCCAAATCTTTATCCAAAGATTTTAAGTGCTAGAGAAATAGTATAGGGATTAAGGCACTTGCCTTGCATCCTGAGGACCCTCGTTGGAATCTCATTGCTGCATATGGTTCTCCAAATATCACTGGGTTCACTCCTGAGTACAGAGCCAGGAACAGCCTGTGAGTACAGCTGGGCATGGCTCAAACTACCCACTCCCCCCACGTCACTCCCCCCTAATATTAAACAAATTTGTTCAATTAAGGAATCTGTTATGACTTGATTTGTGCCCCAATAGGATACCTCAGTACTTGACTCATTATTTATATGAATAATCCTTTCACAAAATACAATAGCCAGTTCTTTCCCACTCTTGTGCTGTCGAGTGGTCTGCTAGATACCTGGGTCGTAAGAGATGGGCCCACACAGAAGTGAAATTTTGAAAAGCATTTTTTATATACATGTGTACATATAGGCATATCTCAGTGCTGAAACACAATGCCTGGTATAGTAGCTGCTTAGTGAAATACTTGAGACCTAAATTCTACTACAAATAGATTTTTCTCTTTTTTTTTTCTTTCAGTGCCTTTACTTGGTCATTCAGAGCAGGGTTTCTTAAACGTTTTCCACTGACAACCTCTTTTACACCTGTGAAATGAAACACAGTCAAGCACTGCGAGAAATACTTCGGATTCATGACGCAGTTGATTTCAGAGGTTAACTTTTGCTTGTTGCGCATTCGGAAACCATTGGCCACTGCCAGTGTTTTCACAACCAGCATATTCTGTAACGTGACCTCAGATGGGGTTGTGAGCCACAGTTTTCAGAAGGTAGGAGTTGAGGCCGAGAAATCATAAATCGCAGCTGGCATTTCCAGTAGGAAGTGATCGAACGTGGGGAAGTGGGCTAATAGAAGGGGTAAAAATCCTGAGAGAAACTCAGGCCAAGGAAGACTCTGGAAAGCTGCCAGTGTAGAAACTTAAGCGCGTGAAGACTGTCGCTCATGTGAAGTGCCTTTGGCATCAGGGTTCGTGACTTTCAGAATTATACTTGAACACCTGGGCCGGAGTGATAGCATAGTGGGTAGGGCGTTTGCCTTGCCCGCAGCCAACCTGGGTTTGGTTCGTCCGCCCCTCTCGGAGATCGTGGCAAGCTACCGAGAGTATTCCCCCCTCACAGCAAAGCCTGGGAAGCTACCCATGACATATTCGATATGCCAGAAACAGTAACAACAGGTCTCACAATGGAGACGTTACTGGTGCCTGCTCGAGCAGATCAATGAACTACGGGAGGACAGTGCTAACAGAGCTACTTGAGGACCAGAGGTCAAGCCCACAGCCCATGCAGTGACCCAGGAGGAATGCTTGTTTCTGCTTCTAAGTAGCCTAATAGGCTATTGTTGGGGAATATGTTGGAATCTCTTAATGACTGTTTTCTAGTATAATGGAGAATAGAATGAAGGGAATAGTATAGACTATTCAGCATTGTCCCAGCATGTTTCACTCTCTAGGAAACAGTATCTATATACAACACACCTTTTGTGTCCAGATGACTCCAGCCCACTGAGCCATTTACCTGCCCCCAGAGTATAATTTATATAAATATTCACACAAAATGAATAGTCATATGTGTGTATATTTCAATTTCCAAAGAATAAATAGGGCCCCAGCTGATAACTTTCTGATGAAATACCCATGTATTCCCTTCCCAAGAAGGTAATTTCACAATTAATCAATTTATAGCATTCATATTCATTTCTTTAATGGAAGTGTCATAATCTTTTTATTTTTCTTTCTTTTTGGGTCACACCCGGTGATGCACAACAGTTACTCCTGGCTCGTGCACTCAGGAATTACTCCTGGCAGTGCCCAGGGGACCATATAGGATGCTGAGACTCGAACCTGGGTCAGCTGCATGCAAGACAAATGCCCTACCCACTGTACTATTGCTCCAGCCCCAAGTGTCATAATCTTAAATAGTTGGAAGAGATGGGAAAGTTGACTAATGTGAATAAATGTATCTACATCAAGGAAAGATGAGGTACATTGCAAAGTCCCTCATTTTACAATTGGACTCCTTGAGTTTTTTTCTCAAGGGTTACTCCTGATGCAGTGCTTGGGATTCTGCGATGCCAGGATTAACCCGGCCTTCTGCAAGCACAGCATGTGCTCCATGCCACGGAGCTCTCTAGCTGCCCCCTATTAGATAATTGTGCAGTAATTATATTCACGTACTGACATTGCAAATAATTTTTTCCCACTACCTATGTTGGGTTATTTTTGCTATAGTCAGAACTTAAGGACTTGTTATTCTTTGTCAAAAGGCTTTTTGTTGCTCTTTTTATCACTTTTATTGAGGCACCAGGAGATTTACAATACTGTTAATTATTCTTTTCATGATACATCTTTCCAATTCCACACCCATTGCCAGAGGACCCACTTCTCTTCACCAGTGTCACAAGAGTCCCTCCCAACCCCGCTCCCTCCCCAAACAGATAAACTCACTTCAATAGACAAAATCTCCAGTTCCAATGAGTTTGGCCATTTATTGTTTTCATACTATGCTACTTTTTTTTTTTAAATCCCAGATGTGAGATCGTTTTTTCTTTTGTGGAAGTGGTGACACCTACACATATGTAGACAGATAAAGCCAAAATTTCATAAAATTGTAAATCAGTGATAAGGTGATGAAAGTTTTTAAAAACCAGTTTTACAGGTATATAAAGTTTTAATAGGAGTAATTCCACGCCAACACATTAAAAATGAACATGATGTAGTTAAATCCTACAAATAGACAAGTATCATGAGAGGAGAATTTGAAAAAAAGAAAAATCTGAGTAACTCATTACTAAGTGTGTTTTTATTTTCCTGTAAAGGGAATATTGGCTTTGTCTTAAAAATATTATAGACAATGCTTAAGCATTTCCATTAATAAGTAGAAGTCTATATCTCTAGGTATAAAAAGTCACTTGAGTAGACTTAGAACTATATAAATGATACATGAATTCATTATTGAAAAAGCATAAAGGCCTTTTCATAAAAAAGCGACTGCCAGGTCTCCCTTGGAAACGTGGGCTGGAGGAAGTAACCTTCAAAAGCAATATGCTCAAGAAGCCTATTTAAAAAACTGAAAAAATTATAAAAACAT